CAGTGGCTCATGCCTGTAATCCCAGCACTTTGGGAGGCCAAGGCTGGTGGATCACGAGGTCAGGAGATTGAGACCATGGTGAAACCCTGTCTCTACTAAAAATACAAAAAATTAGCTGGGTGCAGAGGTGGGTGCCTGTAGTCCCCGCTACTCGGGAGGCTCAGGCAGGAGAATGGTGTGCACCCAGAAGGCGGAGCTTGCAGTAAGCCAAGATCGCACCACTGCACTCCAGCCTGGGTGACAAAGCCAGACTCTATCTCAAAAAGAAAAAAAAAAAAATTAGCTTGGTGTGGTGGTGCATGCCTGAAATCCCAGCTACTTGGGAGACTGAAGCAGGAGAACTGCTTGAACCTGGGTGGTGGAGGTTGCAGTGAGCAGAGAATGTGTCACTGTACTCCAGCCTGGGCAACAGAGTGAGACTCCAAGAGAAAAAAAAAAAAAGAAGAAAAGAAAGAGAGAGAACGGAAGGAAGGAAGGAAAGAAGGAAGGAAGGAAAAAAAAAAAAAAAGACACTCAGCCGCCAGTGCACCCACACTCCCAGAGGAGATCCAAAAGATGAGTCAACACACAGAGTTCTGGTGCCTAGTAAGGTGAGGTTTTTATGGTGGTATAGAGATTGGTGAGTTTCAGAGCCAGTGTGTCCGGTCTAGTCCCTCCACACAATTCCCTCCATTGAGGATCCACATCACCTCCACAGGGAGGAGGTAGGGGTCACACCCCCCCATAGCACCAATCTGGATAGGCCACCCCCTGATGAAACAGAGCAAGCAGTGCCTTCCACAAAGGGGGTAAATGGGGCTAAGAAGGGGGAGGCCTTTTCCTGTGGGAGACCAAGAGTAGCACCATTTGCAGAAAGAAAGCTGGGGGGTAAGGGAGGCACATAGATGGTGGCAGAGAGCTGAGGGGTCCTGGCCTCTCTCCCCACCCAGCAATATGCAGACAGTGCCGTGCCTGTGCGTGTGCCTGTGCGGCTGGAGAAGTCTTCGGACTGCAAACCATCCAAGGGGTGAGGGAGCCCCAGGTGCCCCAAACGTGGGGTAAAGTCAAGGTAAGTGCATGTCTGCAGGGCTGGGGTGGGAAGTGGAGGCGGTTCTGGGGCACAGAGATTGTAGGCAATGAGAATGGAGAGGCATGAAGTCCAGGAGCAGCACAGCCTAGAGGGTAGGGGTCTAGAATGGGAAGACTTAAGACTGAAGGAAGGAATTGGGGTAAGTTCAGTGGGGTGGGAAGCCCAGAATAGATTTAGGAGGGTGGGGTCTGGAATTAGAGAGTTAAGGTTATAAGATTCAGAACCAGAGGAATCTTTAGGGAAAAGTCTAGATTCCATAATCAGAAGCATTTGGAGGCTAAATTATAGAACCAGAAGAATTTGGATCTGATATGAAAGACAGCTGGAAGCTGTGAGGCTTAGAAGCAGAGGAATTTATAGAATAAGGCACAGAATTAGAAAAAGCCTGGCTGGGCTCAGTGGCTTATGCCTGCAGTCCCAGCATTTTGGTGAGGCCAAGGAGGGAGAATTGCTTGAGCTCAGGAGTTCGCGACCAGCCTGGGCAACATGGCGGAACCCCGTCTCTATTTTTTTTTTTTTTTTAAATAAAAAAAGGAAAAACAAAAGCCTAAAATCTTGAGTTCTAGAACCAGAGAGATTTGGGGACCATAAGATCTAGAATCAGAAGGAGTTGAGGGTGGTAAGATCTAAAACCAGAGAACTGTATAAGGCAAAGTCTAAAATCAGAAGATATTTGAAGGCTGAATTCTAGACCCAGGGTAATTTGGAGTCAGATCTTGAGTGAGCAGGAGCTGGAAATGATGAAGTCTAGAGCCAAAGGAACTTACGGAATGAGGTCTAGAATCAGAAGGCACTTGTAAGTCAGTTCTAGAACCAGAGAAACAGCAGATCACCAGATCTTGAATCAGAGGACCCTGGAGGTAGCACTGTCTAGAAATTGTGTAGTCTGGAACTAGTGAGTGGTGCAGGTCATGAGGTTCAGAATCTAAGAGAACTAGAGCATCGTCTGGTTCTAGAAGAACTGGTTATTATAAGATAAGGACAGGGCTGGGCATGGTGGCTCATGCCTGTAATCCCAGCACTTTGGGAGGCTGAGGTGAGCAGATCATTTGAGGTCAGGAGTTCAAGACCAGCCTGGCCAACTTGGCAAAACCCCGTCTCTACTAAAAAATAAAAACAAAAAAAATTAGCCGGACATGGTGGTGGGCTCCTGTAATTCCAGCAACTTGGGAAGCTAAGGCAAGAGAATCGCTTGAACCCAGGAGGCGGAGGTTGCAGTGAGCCTAGATGGCACCACTGTACTCCAGCCTGGGCAACAGAGAGAGACTCCATCTCAAAAAAGAAAAAAAAAAAGAAAAAAAAAGATAAACACATCAAACTCTCTGTACTTGTTTTTGATGAGGGAAAATGAGTCTTGCGTATAGAGAACTGCAGAAAAATAAGCTGAACCTCATAAGGTCTAAAACAAAAGTGATTTAGAAACTAAGAAGTCTGGCCAGGCGTGGTGGCTCACTCCTGTAATTTCAGCACTTTGGGAGGCTGAGGCGGGTGGATCAGTTGAGGTCGGGAGTTCAAGACAGCCTAGCCAATATGGCAAAACACTGTCTCTACTAAAAATATAAAACTTAGCCAGGCATGGTGGCACACGCCTGTAATCCTAGCTATTTGGGAGGCTGAGGCCCAAGAATCGCTTGAACCCAGGAGGTGGAGGCTACAATGAATCGAGATTGCACCACTGCACTCCAGCCTGGATGACAGAGTGGGACTCTTGTCTCAAAAAAAAAAAGAGAGAGAGACTGACCGGGCGCAGTGGCTCACGCCTGTAGTCCTAGCACTTTGGGAGGCCAAAGCAGGCGGATCACAAGGTCAGGAGATCGAGTCCATCCTGGCTAACATGGTGAAACCCAGTGTCTACTAAAAATACAAAAAATTAGCCGGGCGTGGTGGCGGGCACCTGTAATCCCAGCTACTCAGGAGGCTGAGGCAGGAGAATGGTGTGAACCCGGGAGGCGGAGCTTGCAGTGAGCCGAGATCCTGCCACTGCACTCCAGCCTGGACGACAAAAAAAAAAAAAAAAAAGAGAGAGATATTAAGAGGTCTGGATTTGGAACTAAATATATTACCAATCAAGAGGAGTGGAACCAACAGGAAGCTTGGCGTTGTGGGGTTCAAAACCAGAGGAAATCACTGAATATAAGATCTGGAACCAGGGGGAGTTGGAGGGTGTGAGATCTAGAACAAGAGAGATTAATTTATAGGAAGAGGTCTAGAACCAGAGGAAGTTAGTGAATTCTAGAACCAAAAGAATCTGGGAGTCATATACTGTAGAGCCAGAGGGAGTTAGAAGTTGCAAGGCCCAGAACCAGACAATTTTTGGGGACCGTAAGGTTTGAAAACAGGCAGAATGAGAGGTTGGTGAGGTCCAGAACTAGAAAGAGCTGAAGATGGTGAAATTTGAAGCAGAGAGATTTTAGAGAATGTGAGTCCTAGCTGGGCACAGTGGCTCACGCCTGTAATCCCAGCAATTTGGAAGGCTGAGGTAGGTGGAGCACTTGAGGTCAGGAATTCGAGACCAGCCTGGACAACGTGGTGAAACCCCGTCTGTACTAAAAATACAAAAATTAGCTGGGCATGGTGGCACATGCCTGTAGTCCCAGCTATTTGGGAAGCTGAGGCAGGGGAACCACTTGAACCGAGGACGTGGAGGCTGTAGTAAGCCGAAGTTGCACCACTGAACTCCAGCCTGGGTGACACAGCAAAACTCTGTCTCAAAAAAAAAAAAAGAAAAAAGAAGAAGAAGAAGAAGGAGAGGAAGAGGAAGAGAGGAAGAGGAAGAGAGGAAGAGGAAGTAGAGGAAGAGAAAGAGGAAGAAGGAGGAGGAGGAGGTCTAAAGCAGACCACATTGGAGGTTGTGTGGTCTAGAACCAGTGCAGGTCAGAGGTTATACAGTCTGGAACTGGAGCAGGTTGGAGGTTGCATAGTTTGGAACCAGAGGAAGTGGAAGGCTGCTCCTGAAGTAGGAGGACCATGAATGAAGTCAGTGTCCAGGCAAAGCTGGGGGCAGCAGGAAGCCCAGAGTGGAAGGGGCAGGCAGGGCTGGCAGGCAGGGCTTGGGGGGCTTTGGCCTCAATTAGAAGTCACTGGGAGTAAGGTCTGGCCCAGAGCCTCCCCCGACTGACACCTGAGGAGTGGGAGAAGATCAGAGTCCCACATTCTTACAGACCCCAGGCAATTCATCATGATTAAAAACCGTATCACGAAATTGACAAAAATAAAAATGATAACATAAGGATAGAAGGAAACGTGATCACATTGACCTGTGGATCATTGATCTCCCCAGAACCTGGAAACACAGATATGACCCCTCGCCAACCCTCCCCACCCCTAATTCCCCAAAATAAAGCCAAGAGAGGCAGAGAAAGGGATAATGAGGTAACCAAGTATTGAGAACCCCAAGAGAAATCCTGAGAGGAGGAGGAGGGAGCCAGGGACCCCCTCCCAGAGGTCACTGAGCTGAGACTACCCCAAGGAGCCCCCAGATTGGGAGCAGGCAGAGGGGTGAGGGCTGAGGTAGGCCCGAGGTGGGCAGGGGGCACATAGAGAGGAGAGGGGCCCCTCTCCTGGCATCCCCATCCTGTGCGTTGGCTGCCGGCTTGGAGTGTGGTTGAGGTCCTCTCTGGGGGAGGAGAAGGCAGATGGGGAGAGGAGGCAGCTCAGTCGGCTTGGGCCGAGCCTGCCGTTGGCTGGAAGTGGTCCCTGGGCTGGGTAGTGTCCTCGTCTGAGTACGGAGAGAGCAGTGAGGGGCCCAGGCCTGCAAAGATGAAAGATAAATCAGAGGACAACCATAACCCTAATGTTTGAAATAATGTTTAAAATCTTAAGGAAATGGAACACTTCAACAAAGGATTTTTAGTAAAGTAATTTTACTTTTGCACAGAGGGGTGCCTCTTTGGCTAGTTACCAGGAAAGCACGCTTGAACAAAGGGGCACGAGAGCCTTTATTTTTGATGCAAGTCTTGCTTTTGTACTTTTTTTTTTTATTAGCTTGGGTTGGGTTATACAATTTAAACTAATTTCGGTTGGCTAAACATTTGATTTGTTTAGATAAGATGGGCACGTTAAAGAAAGCGGAGAGGAAAGGGGAAGCGGTGTCTGCAATGAGTTAGAAAGTTAGTCCTTTTTTTAATAAGGAAAGGAACGTGAGCTGGTATTGATAACGCCTGGTATTGTGGCGTGTCTGGGCATTCAAAAAAGGCAAAAAGGAAAAAAGGAGAAAAAGGGAAAAAGGCGGCGGGGAGAGGTACTATGAATGAAAGAATAAAAGATTGGTTGAGTTATTTGAAGAGAAACCTCATCAGATCCCACACCAACCCGTCTCCCCTTCCTGGGACTTAAAAGCCTGGGTGGTGAGGGAGGCCTGTCTGGATTCAAACGGCAGTGACATCTTGGGCACTTTCCGCTCTTTGAACCTCTCTGGGGTGTTCAGGACTGCAGTGAAGAACCTGAGTCCAGAGCCAGATGCTGCCCTAGTTTGAATCCAGGTGTTGATATTTACTTTCTGTGTGACCTGGGGCAGGTGACTTCACCTCTCTGTGCCTCAGTTCCCTCATCTGTAAGATAGGCTAATAACAGCACCTCCCTCTTGGGCTGTTGTAAGGAATAAATGAGTAAATCTATGGAAGGTGCTTTGAACCATAACTAGTACTGGTGAAAAAGCAGTTAAGTCAGCTGTTGTTACTTGGGAAACCAGGATACTCACACGTACTTCATTTATGAGAGTTTATTCATTCAAAACATATTTACTGTCGGGCGCGGTGGTTCATGCCAATAATCCCAGCACTTTGGGAGGTCAAGGCAGGTGGATTACTTGAACTCAGGAGTTCAAGACCAGCTTGGGCAACATGGCGAAACCTCGTCTCTACAAAACATACAAACATCAGCCAGGCATGATGGCACATGGCTGTGGTCCCAGTTACTTGTGGGGGCTGAAGTAGGAGGATTGCTTAAGCCCAAGAGGTCGAGACTGCAATGAGAGCCATGTTTGTGCCACTGCACTCTAGCCTGGGTGACACAGTGAGAACCTGTCTTAAAAACAACAACAAAAAACCCCGACACATTTACTGAGCACCTACTTTGTGTCATCTGTGCCAGATGCTAGAGAGACAGCAGTGACCAGGATAGATGAATCTCCCTGCTCTTGTAGGACCGACATTCCAGTGAGAAGCACCAATTGGATCAGGTACATACAAGATTTAGCACAAACCTAGACACAGCGCGAGTGCGTGAATCTTAGCTCCTCATTCACAAATATGTGCTGTGAACTTCCTCTGTGCTCAACCACCGCCCACCCATGTGCACAAAGAAGAGTACAGCAGGGACCCAGACACCCCTGGGCCCTGCTCTTGAAGGCCTCATACCCAAAGAAGACAACAGACAGTCATCAAATGATGACCCACAGGCCTGTGTAATTATGGACTGTTATAAACCATTAGCATATGAAGTCAGGGAGGGCTTTGTGTAAGGAGTAATATTTGATTTGAGATCTAAAGGATGTGGTAACATGGCAAAGAACAGAGGGAAAAGTATTCCAGGCAGAAGGATCAGGATATGCAAAGGCCCTGAGGCAGCCTCCTCGAGCAAGCTGACTTTAAAGCCATCACAATGCCCCACAGAGTCTCCATGCAGTCAGCCCTCACCTTTCTCTCCTCTCTGCTTCAGCTACAATGGCCTTGCTTTTCCCCAAATAAGACAGAGACAGCCAGGCACAATCTCAGCACTCTGGGATGCTGAGGCAGGAGGATCACTTGAACCCAGGAGTTTGAGACCAGCCTGAACAACACAGCAAGACCTCTTTCTCTACAAACATTTAAAAATTAGCTAGACATGATGAAGTGTACTTGTAGTCCCAGCTACTCAGGAGACTGAGACGGGAGGATCGCTGGAGCCCAGGAGTTGAAGGCTGCAGTGAGCTGTGATTGCACCACTGTGCTCCAGCCTGGGCAACAGAGCAAGACCCACCCTGTCCCTCCACCCCCAAAAAAGACAGATACAGTCCCCACCTAAGGGCCTCTGCACTTGCTGTTCTCTCTGCCTGGGACACTCTTCCCCCCGATATCGTCAGGACTCACCCCAGGTCTTTGCTCAACTATCACCTTCTCAATGAAACCACCCTGATCATACTGTTTAAAACTGAAACCCCCTACTCCAAACTCTTTTTCCTTGCATGCATCATTTCCCCTGTTACGCTTATTTTTATCTCCCACTCTTTTTTTGTTCATTTGTTTGTATTTTTATTTTCTGAGACAGAGTCTTGCTGTATTGCCCAGGCTGGAGTGCAGTGGTGTGATCTTGGCTCACTGCAACCTCCGCCTCCTGGGCTCAAGTGATTCTCCTGTCTCAGTCTCTCGAGTAGCTGGGATTATAGGCACCCGCCACCGCGCCTGGCTGATTTTTGTATTTTTAGTAGAGACAGGGGGTTTCACCATGTTGGCTTCAGGCTGGTCTTGAGCTCCTCACCTCCAAGTGATCCGCCTGCTTCAGCCTCCCAAAGTGCTAGGATTACAGGCATGAGCCACCGCACCTGGCCTGTTTGTTTAAATAGAGACAGGAGCCTGTCGGTGGCTCACGCCTATAATCCGCCTTTGGGAAAGGCTGAGATGGGGATCACTTGAGCTCAGAGAGTTCAAGACCAGCCTGGGCAACGTGGTGAAGCTCATCTCTACTAAAATACAAAAATAAAAGCCAAGTGTGCTGGTGCCCACCTGTAGTCCCAGCTGGAAGGCTGAGGTGGGAGAATCTAGCAGGCCTGGGGGCACACAGGCTGCAACAACCAGACAGTGTGCCACTGCACTCCAGCCTGGGTGACAGAGTGAGACCCTTCCTAAAAAAAAAAAAAAAAAAGAAGCCTCGTGCAGACATTGGGAGGCAGAGGCAGGCGGATCACGAGGTCAGAAGATCAAGACCATCCTGGCTAACATGGTGAAACTCCGTCTCTACTAAAAATACAAAAAATTAGCTGGGCAAGGTGGTAGGCACCTATAAGTCCCAGCTATAGAGCTGAAGCAGAAGAATGGGTGGTGTGGTGGAGGCAGAGCCTGCAGCAAGCCGAGATCGTGCTGCTGCACTCAGCTGTGGTGACAGAGCGGGCTCCATGTCAAAAAAAAAAAAAAGAGAGAGAGAGAAAAAATAAAAGAGAGAGAGAAAGAAAATAAAAATGTGAAAAGAAATAAATAGAGACAGGATCTCGCCCTGTCACCCAGGTTGGAGTACACTGGTGCAGTTACAGCTCACTGCAGCCTCGAACTCCTGGGCTTAAGCAATCCTCCCATTTCAGCCTCCCATAACTAGGACAACAGGTGCGTGCCACCACACCCACCTGGTTTTTAAAAATTTTTTGCAGAGACAGGGTCTTACCATGTTTCCCAGGCCGGTCTCGAACTCCTGGTCTCAAGTAATCCTCCCCTCCATAGCCTCCCAAAACACTGTGATTACAGGCATAAAACACTCACCCAGCCCTCTTGCACTTTTTTATTTGAGACAGGGTCTCGCTGTGTTGCCCAGGCTGGAGTACAGTGGCACCATCATAGCTCACTGCAGCCTTGAACTCCCAGGCTCAAGTGATCCTCCCACCTCAGCCCCCAGAGTAGCGGGAACTACAGGCATGCACCACTATGCCCGGCCAATTAAAAAGATTTTTTTAGGCCAGGTGCGGTGGGTCACACCTGTAATTTCAGCACATTGGTAGGTCAAGGCAGGCAGATCACCTGAGGTCAGGAGTTCAAGACCAGCCTGGCCAACATGGTGAAATCCCGTCTCTCCTAAAAATACAAAAATTAGCTGGACACGGTGGCACGTACTAGCTACTTGGGAGGCTGAGGCAGGAGAATCGCTTGAACCCAGGAGACAGAGGCTGCAGTGAGCCAAGATTTCACCACTGCACTCCAGCTTGGGCGAAAGGGCAATGTAGAGACAAGGTCTCGCTATACTCTCCAGGCTGATCTCAAACTCCTAGCCTCAAGTGATCCTCCCACTTTGGCCTCCCAAAGCTTTGGAATTACAGAGCCACCGTGCCCAGCCTCCCTCTTGCACAGTTTCTTTGTTACAGTCTGTCTCCTGCACTAGAATATCAGCTCCGCGATAGAGATTTCTGTGTAATTTGTTCACAGTGAGTCCGCAGCCCCCGGAACCGTGCCTGGTGCTTACGGCGTGCTCCATAAATGTTTGTTACATGCATGAAGGAAAGAATAAACCGAATGACAGTGACTGTGCTGAAACAGAGGGTGTGGAGCACAGCATGGTCTGAGATGTGGCAGCAACTGGACCCTACAGGGATCTGAATCCAAATGAGGAGCTTGATCTTTCTTTGAAGGGCACTAGGGAGCCATAGAAGGGTTTTGAGCAGAGGAGGGCCAGGGTCCAATTCAGGCTCTGAAAAGATCCCTCTGGCTGATACCTGGAGGTTTCAAGTGAAGCTATGCACTAGGAAATGACAGCTTGTCTCATGCTCTGTGGAGGGGCTGTGGGAAGCAGCATCACCACCATAGCCACATGGGAAGACATTTCCTTTAATTTGTTGTTGTTGTTGTTCATCTTAAAACATTTTTAGGCTGGGTGCAGGGGCTCATGCCTGCAATCCCAGCACTTTGGGAGGCCAAGGAGGGTGGGTCACCTGAGGTCAGGAGTTCGAGACTAGCCTGGCCAACGTGGCGAAACCCTGACTCTACTAAAAATACAAAAATTAGCCAGGTGTGGTGGCGCACACCTGTGATCCCAGCTACTTGGGAGGCTGAGGCAGGAGAACCGCTTGAACCTGGGAGGCGGAGGTTGCAGTGAGCCGAGATCACGCCACTGCACTCCAGCCTGGGCGACAGAGTGAGACTTCATCTCAAAAATAAATAAATAAATAAATAAATAAAGGGTGATCATAGGCGTGCAGGCTCCAGAGACCTAGGCTCAGGCTTGCACCCCAAAGGGCAGCTTTGGAGAGCCCATGCCTCCCTTAGGATCTCTCTTCCTCTCTCCTCCGCAGTACCCATGAGAAGACAGAAGAGACAGGAGCTGCCATTTCCATCAAGGTCATCTCCAAGCACTGACAGTCCCCCAGCACCTTTGGAATGGTTCCATCCCTCTCGCACCTCCCAGGGGAGAGGGTGCCCTGGGACTCTGGATACCCAGGTTGCTACTCACCCAGGGGCTCATTCAGGTCCAGGAGGTGGGTGCTGGGGTCCTGTAGCCTCCCTGGGGCTGGTCCTCCTGTCAGAAGGAAACTCTGTGGGAGAGAGAGACAAAGCCATCACCATCACCATCATCATCGTTAGTATCCCAGGAACGGCCGGGCGCGGCGGCTGTCATCACAGCACTTTGGGAGGCTGAGGCGGGAGGATCAGGAGGATCACTTAAGTCTGAAAGTTTGAGACCAGCCTGGGCAAGATAGTGAGATATCATCTCTACAAAAATTTAAAAATTAGCTGGGTGTGGTGGCAAGTGCCTGTAGCCCTAGTTACTTAGGAGGCTGAGGTGAGAGGATCCCTTGAGACCAGGAGTTTGAGGTTGCAGTGAGCTATGATCGTGTCACTGCATTCTAGTCTGGGTGACAGAGACCCTATCTCTAAAAAAAAAAATAAAAAATAATAAAATAAAAATAAGGCCAAGCACAGGGGCTCATGCCTGTAACTCTAGTGCTTTGGGAGGCCAAGGTAGGAGGACCACTTGAGGTCAGGAGTTTGAGATCATCCTGGGCAACATAACGAGACCATAGCTCTACAAAAAATTTTAAAAATGAAAGAAGCTGGGCACGGTGGCTCATGCCTGTAATCCCAGCACTTTGGGAGGCTGAGATGGGCGGATCATTCGAGGTCAGGAGTTTGAGACCAGCATGACCAACATGGTGAAACCCCATCTCTACTAAAAATACAAAAATTAGCAGGGTGTGGTGGCACGTGTCTGTAATCCCAGCTACTTGGGAGGCAGAGGTAGGAGAATTGCTTCAACCTGGGAGGAGGAGGTTGTAGTGAGCCAAGATCGTGCCACTGCACTCCAGCCTGGGTGACAGAGTGGACTCCATCTCAAAAAAGAAAGAAAAGAAAGGAAAGAAATGAAAGAAAGGAAAGGAAAGGAAAAAGAGAAAGGAAGGAAGGAAAAAAAATATATATCCAAAGACAAGATAGCGCAGTGATTAAGGGCTACTGGGGTCCAGTGGCCACCCATCTGTGGTGTGACTTTGGGTCAGTTCCTGTTCAGTCATCCTACTTGTGTACCTCCAGAGCCTCATTCCCCCTTATCCTTCTTCCTTCTCCTGAGGACCTGTGCACAGGGACCGTAACAGCGTGCAGCTTTGCTCTGTGTGTTCCTGTTGGTTAGCTCATGGGAGATACCAGCAGGTGGGGTATTCATTCTTCCCTGTGAGTTGGCGGTGTCCCGCCATGGAAGGTTTCAGCCCTCATTAGCTGGACTCCACTTGCTGCAGGATCTGGTGACCACCCCACCCTGCACCTTCAGGCCAGGGCTGGTGCCCACTTCCCATGCTGTGCCCCAGGGTGCTGCACCAGCCTTGCTGATTTCCCTACACTAGGTTAACACATTTTTCAACAGTCCTGTTATTAAATTCTCCTCAACACTCCATCTGAGTGTGCTACCTTTCCTGTGCAGACTCTGGTACAGTTGTTTAACCTCTTCTGTGTAAGTGTGTATAGCAGTAACAAGAATATTTCAATAGTAGTTGTGAGGATTAAATAAGTTAATCATGCAAGGAATTTAGAGCAGTCAGTGTCTGGCACACGGTAGGCACTTAATAAGTGTAAGTTGTTATATATAGAGAGGGAGGTTTTTTTTTTTTTCCTTTCTGAGACAGAGTTTCACCCTGTCCTCCAGGCAGGAGTGCAATGGCACGATCTCGGCTCACCTCCCAGGTGAGCAATTATTGTGCCTTAGCCTCCCGAGTAGCTGGGCCTACAGGTGTGCACCACCACACCGGGCTAATGTTTGTATTTTTAATAGAGACAGGGTTTCACCATGTTGGCCAGGCTGGTCTTGAACTCCAGACCTCAAGTGATTCTCCCGCCGCATCCTCCTAAAGTGCTGGGATTACAGGCGTGAGGCATTGCGTCTGGACTGTAAACTGTTATATTATCGACCACATCTCATATTTAAACAACTCTTTGCAGAGTGAAGAACCAGGGCACTGCTGGAAGCACTAGGGAGCCATGAAAGGTCCTAGAGGGAGGCCTTGCAGAAGTGACATAGTCCAGGCTGGCTTTTTTATTTTTATTTTTTTGAGACAGGGTCTTGTGCTGTCATCCAGGCTGGAGTGCAGTGGCACGATCATGGCTCACTACAGCCTTGACCTCCCAGGCTCAGGTGATCCTTTCACCACAGCCTCCTAAGTAGTGGGGACTACAGGCACATGTCACCACCCCTGGTTAACTTTTTATTTTTTTTTATTTTTATTTTTTTTGTAGAGACGGTATCTCACTATGTTGCCCAGGCTGGTCTCGAACTCCTGGGCTCAAGTGATTCTCCTGCCTTGGCTTCCCAAAGTGCTGGGATTACGGGCAGGAACCACTGCACCTGGTCCCGGCTTTTAAAAAGGGTATTGTGGTTGCCATTGTGCAGAATGAATAGTTGAGGAGAGACTGGAGGAGGGACACTGTGGGAGGCTGCTTTTGTTTGTTTGTTTAGATGGAGTTTTGCTCTTTGTCGCCCAGGCTCGAGTGCAGCAGCAGGCTCACGCTGCCTCCCGGGTTCAAGTGATTCTCCTGTCTCAGCCTCCAGAGTAGCTGGGATTACAGGCACCTGCCACCGTGCCTGGCTAATTTTTGTATTTTTAGTAGAGATGGGGTTTCACCATGTTGGCCAGGCTGGTCTCAAACTCCTGACCTCAGGTGATCCGCCCACCTTGGCCTCTCAAAGTGCTGGGATCACAGGCATGAGCCACCGTGCCCGGCCATTTGGTTTGTTTTTGTACACCATTTATGGTCAGCCCACTGAGTGTCAGCTAAGGGCCTAATTTCCTTTAATTCTCATGGCAGTCCCGTGAGATGTAACTATTCCCACTTTCTGGATGAAGAAACTGAGGCTCCATGTGGTGATGTCACCTGCCCAAGGTCTCACAGTTAATGAGTGGCAGACCTGGGACTTGAACCCAGGTCAGTCTGATTCTAGTGTCTGCACTTTGAACTCTGCACTGGTAATCCAAGGCCAAGACCTGTTCTAGTTTGGGGAGGGGGTCCCATGGGAGCAGAGAAGCTTCCTGCAGATACCAGCCACACGCCATTTCTCCCCTTACCCTGCTTAATTTTCCTTCTTTGCACTTACTGCCTTTTTTTTTTTTTTTTTTTTTGAGGGAGTTTCGCTCTTGTTGCCTAGGCTGGAGTGCAGTGGCACGATCTCAGCTCACCGCAATCTTCTCCTCCCGGGTTCAAACGATTCTCCTGCCTCAGCCTCCTGAGTAGCTGGGATTACAGGCATGTGCCACCACGCCCGGCTAATTTTGTATTTTTAGTAGAGATGGGGTATCTCCATGTTGGTCAGGCTGGTCTCAAACTCCTGACCTCAGGTGATCGACCTGCCTCAGCCTCCCAAAGTGCTGGGATTACAGGCGTGAGCAACCACGCCCAGCTGACTTACTGCCATCTTATATATATTGGCAGAGGTTTTTGTTTTTGTTTTTGTTTTTGTTTTTGTTTTGACAAGGTCTCACTCTGTAGCTCAGGCTGGAGTGCAGTGGCGCGATCTCAGTTCACTGCAGAGGTTTTTAATACCCATTAGTGAAACTAGAAGATTAGGCTTCAGTCTCAGCTGGCCCACTGACTTTCTGTACGACCCTCAACCAGCCCCTGCCTGTCTGGTTTCCTATCTATAAAACAGGAGGTTTAAGCAGGCTAGGTAATGAGGGCCAGAGAATCCCATTAATCCCCCAACACACCAGGCTGAGGGGAAACAGCAGAAAGTTTTCGGGTTCTGGGCTGGGGGACCTTTTGGGAGGTCTCACTCCCAGCAGCTCCACTCCTTCGTCCTCGTCCTCTGAGCTCTGGGCCAGGGTCCTGGAGGAAAACAGGAAAGAATCTCAGGGTACAGCAAACCTGGGCAAGTGTGGGTAACAGTGTAAGCAGGTGATGAGCATTCGTTCACTCCTCTGAGTACCTATTTATTCCTTTACTCATACACACACCAGTCCATCCATCCATCAATCCACCTTCTCATTTATCCAATGATCCATCACCCACCCACCCAAACAAACTCTATCCATTTATCCTTCCATTCATCCACCTGTTTATCCACCTAGTTGTCTTCCATCTATCCATCCATCCTTCCACCCAGCCATCTACCATCCATCCATCCATCCGCCGTCCATCCACCATCTGTCTGCCAGCCATCCAACATCCATCCATCCATCCATTGATCCATCCATCCATCCATCCATCCATCCTTCCAGCCACCCATCAATCCATTGACCCATCTATCCATCCTTCTGTCTACCCAGACATCCATCCATCATCCATCCATCCATCCATCCACACATACACACACATACATACACCCTTTCACCTACACATCCATCCATCTGTCCTTCCATTGACCCATCCATCCATCCATCCACCTGTCCACCCACTGAAGTGCCAACTATATTCATTAATAATTCCCTCCCTCCCTCATTTAATAAGTCTTTATCAGGCACCCACTTTATAGCCAGTACCAAGCTGGGAGCCTTGGAAAATACCAAGACGTATCCATAAGGATAAGACCACTCTGGATTCGAAATGAGCACATGCTTGCAACTTAGTTCTAGACAGTTTCTTTTCCTTTTTCCTTTCCTTCCTTCCCTCCCTCCCTCCCTTCCTTCCTCCCTTCCTTCCTCTCTCTCCATTCTCTGTCTCTCTTTCTTTCATCTTTTTTTTTTTTCTTGACAGTGTCTCACTGTTGCCCAGGCTGGAGTACAGTGGCACAATCACAGCTTACTGCAACCTCAATCTCCTGGGCTCAAGAGATCCTCCCACCTCAGCCTCCCAAGTAGCTGGCACTACAGGCATGCACTACTACACCCAGCTTAATAGTTTCTCCGACACTGCAGCAATGTCTTCCAAACTCTGACAAAAATTGTCACTAGATCAGATATAACTTTGTTCCAAAGGAGACAGCCCTGGTTGACAGGTGAGAGCTCTGGTTGACAGGATTTGGATAAATGGTGAGAGCAGTGGAGGGTACTCCAGAAGGGGTGCACAGCCTAGGCAAAGGCATAGAGATTGGCACAAACTTGGCAGGTGCTGGGCCCACTGAGGGCCTGGCTGGAGCAGAGATCAGGGTTAGAGAAATGGTGAGGGATGAGGCTGAAGCAGGAGGCAGGGGCAAGACGGGGTGAGGGGATGCTCCCTTGATGTCCCCCCTTTACTGTGGCTCACCTCTTCCGAGCCCCAGCCATGGAAGAGGATGCTGAGGGGTTCCCTCTGGAAGGGCTGGAGTAGCTCAGCCGGGGGTCACTACCCCAGCGGGGCAGCAGAGAGGGCTCAAGGGCTGGAGGTGACAGGCCATGGAAGCTCCGAGCGCGGGGCCGGGGGACAGCCCCCAGAGGTCTGTGGTAGGCCCTGGGTAGCTGCTCGCTGGCATTGAGCTGGAAGTCATCATCCATGGAGATGTAGGGGGCCAGCATCTCCAAATCCAGAGCATCGGCATCCTGCGGAGGGCAGGAGGGAGGTAAGAGCATAAGACTTGGACTTGGGTGGACCTTGGCTGACGTCCCAGCACCACCACTTCTGAGTTCCGTGACTGTGGCCAACAGTCTGAGCTTCAGTTTCCTCATCTGTAAAATGGGTATAAGGACTCCCTGAAGAGCATGTTAGAGAAATCCTAAATTGGGTCAGAAGCACGGGAGCTGACACCTGTAATCCCAGAGCTTTTAGGAGGCTGAGTTGGGAGCATCACTTGAGGCTAGAAATTAAGAGACCAGTCTGGGTAACATAGCGAGACCCCCACCTACACAAAAAGGAAAAAAATTAGCCAGGTGTGGTGGCCCATGCCTGCAGTTCTAATTACTCAGGAGGCTGAGGTGGGAGGATTGTGTCAGCCCAGGAGTTTGAGGTTGCAGTGAGTCATGATCACACCATTGAAGTCCAGCCTGAGTGTCACAGTGAAACACTGTCTCAAAAAAGAAAAAAAAAAAAAAAGAAAAGAAAAGTAAAAAAAAGAAATCCTAAATACCTCAGAGAAACCACTGGTCAAAATCTGAACATTGTGGCCGGGCGCGGTGGCTCACGCTTGTAATCCCAGCACTTTGGGAGGCTGAGGCGGGTGGATCATGAGGTCAGGAGATCGAGACCACGGTGAAACCCCATCTCTACTAAAAATACAAACCGGGCGCGGTGGCGGGCGCCTGTAGTCCCAGCCACTCGGGAGGCTGAGGCAGGAGAACGGCGTGAACCCGGGAGGCGGAGCTTGCAGTGAACCGAGGTCGAGATCACACCACTGCACTCCAGCCTGGGCGACTGAGCGAGACTCTGTCTCAAAAAAAAAAAAAAAAAAAAATTCTGAACATTGAGAAGACTCAGTGAGGGCTTAGAGAGAGGTGGGAAACATACTGGAAACCAGAGGAAAGAGAATTTTTGTCCTGTAGTGGCTGAAAGTTTAGCAGCACTGCTGCTTGCAGTTACATAGAAAGTAGAAAATACAACAAATACACTAGGTGGTCCAGCTAAGACTCCCAGCCAGAGTGTTGAAGGGGCTGCCTGATTTCTTCTTGTTACTTACAGTAAAAGGTAAGAGGAGAGAGAGAGATAAAAAATATTTCTCCTAAAGGAAGAGATGTTAAACATGAAGGAGATAGGACTTGAAGGTTTTGAATATTCTCAACCTCCTTGTGCAGTGAATAATTAACTGTACCCAAAGAGAGGTCTGGCTTTTGTCCCAGCTCCTGGAAGGTAACCTCTAAACCTCTGGAATTTTCTGAGTGATAGGAGTGTCTTTGCTACTCACTGTGGGTCTTTTGGATAATCTGTGCTAACCAGGTGACTCATGGTGAGCCCCTAGAAAGTTTATGCTAATGAGGTAACTCAGGATGGAGGCTGGCCATGCAGAAAAAACAACCACTGTGATTAGAGGGTTGGGGCTTTGGTCCACACAAAATCAGCCAGATCCAGGGAAGGTAGGCGTGGCATTGGAGACTGAATTCAATTACATGGGCAGTAATTTGCTCAATCATGCCTACGCAATAAAACCCCAATAAAAACTCTGAACATTGATGCTTTGGTGAGTTTCCTGAGTTGGCATTACTCTGCACATATTGCTACATATCAATGCTGGGAGGATAACATGTCCCTGAGGACAAGAAAACTTTCCATTTGGGACCTTCCAGTCCCAGATTCCACCTATGAATATCTTCCTTTGTCTGTTTCTGATTTGTATTCTTTTGTTATGATAAAACTACCATCCTAAGTATAGCACTTTCTGAGTACCACAAACACTTCTAGCAAATTATCAAACCTGAGGGAGTCTACAGGAGTCTGGGAATCTCCACATTGGTAGGCAGCTGGTCTAAAGTGAGGGTGGCCCTGGGGACCCTCAAACTTGTGGCTGATGTCAGAAGTCTGGGCAGACTCCGTAGTCTGGAGAACCATGCCATTAACTTTGAGTTTGGCTGACTGCAGGAGCCCTCCAGATGGGAAATGATGCTAATATTAAGAAGTGGTCTCTAGGCCAGGTGCGGTGGCTCACACCTGTAATCCCAGCACTTTGGGAGGCGGAGGTGGGCAGATCACGAGGTCAGGAGATCGAGACCATCCTGGCTAACATGGTGAAACCCCGTCTCTACTAAAAATACAAAAAATTAGCCAGACATGGTGGTGGGTACCTGTAGTCCCAGCTACTCGGGAGGCTGAAGTAGGAGAATGGCGTGAACCCAGGAGGTGGAGCTGGCAGTGAGCTGAGATCATGCCACTGCACTCTAGCCTGGGTGACAGAGCAAGACTCTGTCTCAAAAAAAAAAAAGAAGTGGTCTCTGAGCCAGCCTGGTGAAACCTCATCTCTACAAAAAATATGAAAATTAGCCAGGCATGGTGGTGGGCAGCTGTAGTCCCAGCTACTCGGGAGGCTGAGACCAGAGGGTCACTTGAAGCTGGGAGGCGGAAGTTGCAGTGAGCCAAGATTAAGCCACTGTATTCCAGCTTGGGTGACAGAGTGAGACTCCGTTTCAAAAAAAAAAAAAAAAAAAAAAAAGAGAAAAAGGTGGTCTCTGAGCAATGAAGGGCACCCTCGGGCCAGACACAGTGGCTCACACCTCTAATCCCAGCACTTTAGGAGGCCAGGGTGAAAGGATCACTTGAGCCCAGGGGTTCAAGATGGGCCTGGGCAATATAGTGAGACCCTGTCTCTATTTTTATAATTTTTTTTTTTTTTTTTTGAGACAAGAGTCTTGCTCTATCATCAGGCTGGAGTGCAGTGGCACAATCTTGGCTCACTGCAACCTCTGCCTCCCTGGTTCAAGTGATTCTCCTGCCTCAGCCTCCCGAGTAGCTGAGATTATAGGCATGTGCCAGCACGCCCAGCTAATTTTATTTTTATTTTTATTTTTGGTAGAGACAGGGTTTCACCATGTTGGCCAGGATGGTCTCGATCTCCTGACCTCGTGAACCACCTGCCTCAGCCTCCCAACGTGCTGGGATTACAGGTGTGAGCCACCGTGCCTGGCCCCCAATTTTTTTTTTAAAGTCCTAATGAAATAACTTCTGATATTTGCCCACATAGATTTCAAAACTGCTATGGACCAGGGATATATGCATGCTCCTCTTCCCCGTCCTTTTTGAATAGTAGTGTTTATTCCTGTCTCACCACTATATATTGAGTATGTGGGTGACAGATGACTCGTCTCCATTAGTCCACAAGTCAAAATGTTGAGAGGAACTGTACTCAAGGAGTTTCCCCAGCACCCAGACCAGATTTAGATGATCAGATTCTAGACTTCAAGCTGATGCTGTAATGGGAAGAAACTCTGGGAGACTTTGGGGGGGCCTTGATATGTGGGTGAGTGTATTTTGCATGAGGGAGAGACATCAATCATTGGAAGTTCCCAATGATCCCTGCCTCTCTTTTTTTTTTTTTTTTTTTGAGACGGAGTCTCGTTCTGTCGCCCAGGCTGGAGTGCAATGGCGCAGTCTCGGCTCACTGTAAGCTCCACCTCCCGGGTTCACGCCATTCTCCTGCCTCAGCCTCCCGAGTAGCTGGGACTACAGGCACCTGCCACCATGCCTGGCTAATTTTTTGTATTTTTAGTAGAGATGGGGTTTCACCGTGTTAGCCAGGATGGTCTCGATCTCCTGACCTCATGATCCAGCCGCCTTGGCCTCCCAAAGTGCTGGGATTACAGGTGTGAGCCACCGTGCCCGGCCAATCCCTGCCTCTTGATGTTCACACTCTTGTGTTGTTGCCTCCCACAGTGTACAGGATTGATCTATATGACCAGAACAATATGGCAAAAGCGATGGTTTGTCACTTCTGAGATTAGGCTATGAAAGACTGTGTCTTCAGTCTGGGACTTGTTCTTTCTGTCTCTCTGCTTCCCCATTTGTCTCTTTCTCTCTTTGTTGGATTGCTTGCCTTACGGAAGCCAATTGCCATGTTGTGAGGACACTTAGGGAGTCTATGTAGAGGTTCATGTGATGAGGAACTGAGGCCTCCAGCCAAAGCAAAGTGAGGGACTGAGGCCTGCCAGCCACCTCATGTGTGTGAGCTTGGAAGAAAACCTTCTAACCCCAGATGACTATAGCCCTGACTGAGAGTTTGACTTCAACCTCGTGAGAGACTCTGAGCAAAAACTAGCAGTTAAGTTGCTCCTGAATTTCTGATACCCAGTCACCATGTGACATAATAAATAGTTGTTGTTTTAAGGTGTTACGTTTTTAGACAATTTGTTACACAGCAATAATAACTAATACATCATGCTGCTGTCATTTTATCTATGCACTCAGTAAATCATCCATCCAAATATCACCCATCCATTTTTCATCCAGCTATCAAAACATCCACCCAAACATTCATCCACCCACCCACCCATCCACCCATCAATCCATCCATTAGAATATCTGCCTAAACCTCATCCATTCATCTGCTATCATCCACCTAATGAATACAATGGTCCATCCATCCATCCATCCATCCATCCATCCATCCATCCATCCACCCACTCATTCCTTTAGCCATCCCACTAACCTTCTCTAAAGCCACATATGTGAATCCCCAGAATGCAGGGCTAAGGATTACTCCTTCCATGCCAGCCCTTACCTGAGCTATATCTAAATCTGTCTCCACTGCCTCAGTGTCTTTCCCGGAGGTGAAGAGTCTGTGCACATTCTCTGTTCCCACAGGTAGTTCATCTGGGAGATCAGCCTGTGGAGAGATGGAGTAGAGACTTCAGGAAATCTTGAGCCTGGGAGATGTCAACAGTAAGACAGTCTGTAGCTCAAAGGTAGAAGTGGGGATCAAATGCCCGGCATCTGGGGACAAAGGGAGTCCAATGGCAAATGCAGATGAGTTTTGAGCATGGGTATTCAAAAGTCAGAATGCCTGAGTGTATGTAGATCGACAGAGCAAACATGGAAGTTCCAGTTAGAAGGATCAGAGCCTGGCCAGGCTCAGTGGCTCATACCTGTAATCCCAGGACTTTGGGAGGCCAAGGTGGGTGGCACTTGAGATCAGGAGTTCAAGACCGGCTTGGCCAACATAGTGAAACCCTGTCTCTACTAAAAGTACAAAAATTAGCTGGGCTTGGTGGCACACATCTGTGGTCCTAGCTACTAGGGAGGCTGAGGCAGGAGAATGGCTTGAGCCTGGGAAGCGGAGGCTGCACTGAGCTATGACTGTGCCACCACACTCCAGCCTGGGTGACAGAGTGAGACTCTGTCGCAAAAAAAAAAAAAAAAACCAAAAAACTTTTTTTTTTTTTTTTTTTTTTTGAGAGGGAGTCTTACTCTGTCACCCAGGTTGGAGTGCAATGGTGTGGTCTCGGCTCACTGCAACCTCCGCCTCCCGGATTCAAGTGATTCTCCTGCCTTAGCCTCCTAAGTAGCTGGGATTACAGGCGTCCGCCACCACACATGGCTAATTTTTGTGTTTTTAGTAGAGACAGGGTTTCACCATGTCAATCAGGCTGGTTTTGAACTCCTGACCTCAGATGATCTCCCCACCTTGGCCTCCCTAAGTACTGAGATTACAGGTGTGAGCCACCGTACCCAGCCTGAGGCCAAGATTTTCAAACAAATCCTCTGCTGTTAAAGATCTTGGAGCCTGGAGTTTGGGTGGGAAACAATGGCGAGTTCAGCTGTCTCAGGAGTAAAGGATGAGGTCAAAGGTCACAGTCTGTATTTCTCTGGAGAGAAGATATTTTCTTGGGGTGGAGAGTGGGGATGAAGACAGTCAACACTAGACAATATAGACTCACTGAGGTCAAAGGTCAGACTATCTTCACAACAAATAGTGATAGTAACAGGTATGATCTGTTGAGCACCAGTAGGTGCCAGGCCCCTACTGAGTGCTTCTCATGAATACTCTCATTTAATGCTCAGAATAACCAATGATGTGGTGACATGTTATCATCTTTCTTTTATAGGTGAAGAAATTAAGGCCTCAAGAACTTGCCTGCCCAGCCAGGGTAACGCCGTTGATAAATGGCAGATTTAGGATTGAATCCAGGTCTGTATAAATCAGGACATTAGACATTTTGACTCTTTGAGGTCAAAGTTCAGAGAATTGGATGCTTAGTCACAAGCTGGAGTGGGAGGAGGGTCATCTGTGCCAGTTCCAAACAACCCAGGTTAGGGACCTGATATGGTTTGGCTGCATTTCCACCCAAATCTCATCTTGAACTGTAGCTCCCGTAATTCCCACACACTGTGGGAAGGACCTGGTCAGCGATAAATGAATTACGGGGGTGGTCTCCCCCATACTGTCCTCGTGATAGTGAATAAGTCTCATGAGATCTGATGGTTTCACAAGGGGAAACCCCTTTCACTTGGTTTCATTCTCTCTTGCCTGCTGCCATGTAAGACATACCTTTCACCTTCCACCATGATTGTGAGGCCTCCCCAGTCATGTGGAACTCTGAGTCCATTAAACCTTTTTTTGTTTATAAATTACTCAGTCTTGGGTATGTCTTTAGCAGCAGCATGAAGATGGACTAATACAGGGCCTATGGTGTTATTTTATTTATATATATATACACACACACACACACACATAAATATATAAAAATATATTTACATTCATGTATATTTACATATATGCAAACACATCCACACATGCAAACATATTTACATATATGCAAATATATAAATACAAATATACTTATATATTTGCATATGTAAATAAATATATTTGCATATATAAATAAGTATATTTGCATATATAAATATATGTTTATCTATTTATTTTTAATATAAAATATATATTTATAGATATACATGATTTTGCACACGGTTCCTGGGTCAAACTCCCATGGCCCTTGTCTTTTGTTAGAACAGTCTTTTATTAGAACAGTCTAATAAAACAGTTCGAACAGTCTTTTGTTAGAACATTGGGTGTGTTCGGCCTCATGAAACAACCTCTCCAGCCTTCTTCTGCCCTCCTTTCACCTGCCCCAAGGCAGGTCTCTAATCTTCCCCCGCCTTTCTGATTGTGAGTCATAAAACTGTACCCAGAGAGGGTCCTGCCCGATACCCTGGGGGAAAGAATGCTGACATCATGAAGCTTCCATAAAAACCCAAGAGGACTGGGTTTGAGGGGCTTCCAGATAGCTGACCCACGGAGGTTTCTGGAGGGTGGTGCCCAGGGACGGCATGGAAGCTCTGAGACCCTGCATTCCCCCATACCTCACTTGACGTATCCCTTCATCTGTATCCCGTGTGATATCCTTGACAATGAACCAGTAAACCTAAATAAATGTTATCCTGATTACTGTGAGCTGTTCCAGCGAATTAAACCCAAAGAGCCAGGTGCGGTGGCTCACACCTGTAATCCCAGCACTTTGGGAGGCCAAGGCCGGAAGATCACTTGAGGTGAGGAGTTCGAGACCAGCCTGGCCAACATGGTGAAACCCTGTCCCTACTAAAAATACAAAAAATTAACCGGGTGTGGTGGCAGGCACCTGTAATCTCAGCTACTTGGGAGGCTGAGGCAAGAGAATTGTTTGAACCTTGGAGGTGGAGGTTGCAGTGAGCCGAGATTGCGCCACTGCACTCCAGCCTGGGGGACAGAGTAAAACTCCATCTCAAAAAGAAAAAGAAAAAGAAGAAAGAAATTCTGGAGGCCCAGACTTGTGACTGGTGTCTGAAGAGCAGGGAGCAGTCTCGGGGACTGAGGGCCAACCTGTGAGATCTGACACTATCTCCAGGTAGATGGTGCCGGAATGGAATTGGAGGACACCCAGCTGGTGTTCGCTGCTTGGTGTGTGGGAAAAACTGCCCACATTTGGTCACAGAAGTCTTCTTCTGTGTTGACGATTGTTGCGTTATCAGGAGAGCAGAGGAAAAACATAGCTTGAGAGAGTTTTTCCCTAACAGAGCCAGATTCTGGAATCCTAACAGTTGAAGAATCTGGATCTGCGTCTTAAAGGAACCTCAACCCCATCTCAACCCAACCTCCCCACTACACAGATGGAGAAGCTGAGGCCCAGAGAACAGTCAGGTTTAAGCCACAGGCCAAGACCACCTGAGGGACGGAGCCTTGGATGCTGAGGGCTCATGTGGGTGGGATGGCTTACCGAAAGAGGACTTCGGGGACGCCGTGTGGCCAGCGGGGTGCTGGGAGTGGCGGCTACTGAAGCCCCATCCAGGATGGGTCCCAGGAGGCGACGGAGGTCAGGGCTGCAGAAACGGCGTGGGTCAGCAGCCAGGGCAGCCTCGCTCAGGGAAGGGGGGTGCAGGAAGGCGAGGATCCGGGGGCCAGGGGTGTCTGCAGGACACATGAAGACAGGGAGGACACGGGCTGGTGACCAAAGGCCAAGGGCCAGAGCCCTCCATACCACCCGGGAACACAGTTGACATCAGCAAGTCAGGATGGTCACTGTCCTTAGTGTGGGAGTAAGGAAGGGGCCTGGAGGACCCCTGCTGAGCCAGGGGTAAACTTTATTTTTATTTTTGAGATGGAGTCTTGCTCTGTTGCCCAGGCTGGAGTGCAGTGGCATAATCTCAGTTCACTGCAGCCTCCGCCTCCTGGGTTCAAGCGGTTCTGTGCCTCAGTCTCTGGAGTAGCTGGGATTACAGGTGCCTGCCATTCATGCCCAGCTAAGTTTTGTATTTTTTGTAGAGACAGGGTTTCACCATGTTGGCCAGGCTATCTCAGACTCCTGACCTCAAGTGATCCGCCCACCTCGGCCTCCCAAAGTGCTGAGATTGCAGGCATAAACCACTGCACCCAGCCCGGGTGTGAACTTTAGTGGCCAGATCGTGGTGAGGCTCCGAAAACTCCGAGGGGAGGGGATTGGTGGCTCAGAGCAGCATTTGGCCATTCCATTCAGCTCTGGGGAGCTTGTACCTTAGGAGAAAAGACTGGCCCCAAGTCCTCAAGGAGGCTGTAAGGTCCCCAGAGGTTAAGACAAGGCCCAGAGCCAGCTCTGAGCCAGAAAAGGAAAGGATATTATATCAGCAATCCCACCCCACACCCAGGAGCATGGGTGGCCAGCAACAGTTGGGAGAAGTTGAGGTCTTGAAGGACAAACCGGGAGGGAGGCTCATCCACGATGGCAGGAGAGTGAAGGAAGAGGGAGAAAGGAGCCAGACTTAGGAGGATCGAGATTACTGGAAGCCAAAGAGCGGCAAAGCCAGAATAGAGAGGAGGCAGAAGCATGGGGACAATGTGGAGCCACAGCAGGATTCAGAGCAGAGGCCAGCAAGAGACTGAAGCAACCATGCCATAGCCACAGGAGGGGAGGGAGGACAGGAGAGAGAAGAGCATTCTGGGAAACTGCATGTGCAAAGGCCCTGAGGCACGAGGCTGCAGTGTTCTAAGGGGTCTTAGGAGGCTGTGTGGTTTGGAGGCGGAGTGTGCAGGGAAGGGAGTCAAGAGGCAGGTCCCACAGGGCCTGGTGAGCCATGTTAAGGTGCTTGGGCTTTCTCCCAAGGGCCCTGGGGACACAACCCCTCCCAGCCCCAGCCCTGCCCCATACCAAGGCTGTTCCCAGGGTTAGGGGTGTCCTTCTGAGAGGGGGCACCCCGCTGAATGGGTCTGCGAGAGTGTCGCTCCGTTTGCTCCAGGGACAGCACCACTCCGGTCTCTTCCACCCGGCTGGGGTACAAGACAGAAAGGGAGGTGGGAGTCAGGGAGGGTCCTTGGCTCCAGCCCAGGTAGCCTGTTCAGGTGATGTCCTATTACAGAAGGCAATGGCGCCCAGGGGCTTGGAGGGCGTTTCACAGAAAATAATTGCCCACATTTATTTGTCTCCTATAAGGGTTTGATTTTTGTTGACTGCTTTTTATTCTGACAGCGAATTTTTCTTTCTTTTTCTTTTTCTTTTTTTAAGACAAGGTCTCACTCTGTTGCCCAGGCTGGAGTGCAGTGGCACGATCTTGGCTCACTGCAACCTCTGCCTCCCAGGTTCAAGCGATTCTCCCGCCTCAGCCTTCCGAGTAGCTGGGATTGCAGGTGGATGCCCCTATACCTGGCTAATTTTTGTATTTTTAGTAGAGATGGGGTTTCACCATGTTGGCCAGGCTGGTCTTGAACTCCTGACCTCAGGTGATCCACCTGCCTCAGCCTCCCAAAGTGCTAGGATTACAGGCATGAGCTACTGCGCCCAGCCTATTCTGACAACATTTTAAAAAGAAAGTTAAGTTTGTCCCTTCCCAAGCTCCTTCTGTAAAAGGAAAGGCAGAAAAAGGAGCTGGCATTTAGCACAGCCTGGGCAGAGAGGAGGAAGACTGAGGGAAGCGGGTAGGGCGGCACTGAAAGACAGAAGTGGGAAGAGACCTAGGAACAGACAGGGGACGCCCAGGGGCAAAGAGAGGGGTGAGCAAAAGGCTTCAGAATACTTAAATATTCTCTTTATAGATTTTAACTTACAAACATATTCTTAGAAAACTACTGATGAAAAAATATATTTTTAACATAGTCTTCATTACATTACCAAATAGGAAGAATTCATAGGGCTGTAATTTTTATGAATAAGATTTTATTTATGCTGTTTCTATTCACAGATATTTTTCATATTCAAGGGAACAGGTTTATAAATACTTCCTTATGTCCCTGCCACCTCCCTTCACACAGTCTGTGGCTGCAGAGACAATCTAAATGCTCGCTGGGCAAGTTGGTTTTTAGAGAGTTGGGTGGGGCTGAGGATCAGGCCCTCATTTGCATCTCATCTGCATAACCTGCTTCAGGACAGGATGTAGGTGGGCCTGGTTTTCCCACCAGCTCCTTGAGAAGCTATGACCTCTCCCTACCCTCATTAAACCCTCCCTGGGTTGGAAACATCCCAATTTAGGCTGGATCAAAGCCACCCTTATTCCCCTGAAAGACAAGCACACACAATCGAACTTGCACACACACTCGGTACACACAGGCACAAACAGGAGCGCTCGCATACACCTGAGTGCATACAGGGACAGATATGCTCACACGTTCCATACACTTGGGCCTGAATATGTGCACATGTGACACATTCAGTTCACTCATTCATCATTCCACAAACATCTCCTCGTCAAGCACTACTGTGTAGTGGTTCATAGCAAGGACTCTGTAGTCAGTGGCCTGGGTTCAAATCCCAGCTCTGCTACTTACGCAGTGGTGTGATCTTGAATATGAAAATAAAATATATTATTAAAATTAGGCCAGGCACGGTGGCTCATGCCTGTAATCCCAGCACTTTGGGAGGCCGAGGCAGGTGGATCACCTGAGGTCAGAAGTTTAAGATCAGCCTGGCCCACATGGTGAAACCCTATCTCTACTAAAAATACAAAAATTAGCCGGGCATAGTGGCGGGCGCCTGTAATCCCAGCTATTCAGGAGGCTGAGGCAGGAGAATCACTGGAACCCCAGAGGTGGAGGTTGCAGTGAGTTGATATCACACCACTGCACTCCAGCCTGGATGATGGAGTGAGACTCCAAATAAATAAATAAATAAAATGAAATTAAAAAAATAAAATTGGCTGGGCACAGTGCTCACACCTGTAATCCCAGCACTTTGGGAGGCCAAGGTGGGAGGATCACGAGGTCAGGAGATCAAGACCATCCTGGCTAACATGGTGAAACCCCATCTCTACAAAAATTACCAAAAAAAAATTAGCTGGGCATGGTGGTGCGCATCTGTAGTCCCAGCTACTCAGGAGGCTGAGGCAGGAGAATGTCGTGAACCTGGGAGGCGGAGCTTGCATGAGCCGAGATCATGCCACTGCTCTCCAGCCTGGGCGACAGAGCGAGACTCTGCCTCAAAATAAATAAATAAATAAATAAAATTAATTAATTTCACCTGCTTCTGTTGACTTTTCTTTTGAGACAGGATCTCAGTCTGTCACTCAGGCTGGAGCAGTGGTGCAATCTCAGCTCACTGCAGCCTCAATCTCCCAGGCTTAGGTGATCCTCCTGCCTCAGCTTCCTGAGTAGCTGGGACTACAGGCACATGCCACCATGATGGGCTAATTTTTAAATTATTTGTAGAGATGGGGGTCTCCCTATATTGCCAAGGCTAGTCTCAAACTCCTGGCCTTGGCCTCCCAAAAGTGTTGGGATTACAGGTGTGAGTTATCACACCCAGCATTCTGTTTACCTTTCAAGGTGGCTACTAGAAAATTCAAAATGACATATGTGGCTGGCATCATGCTTTTATTGGACAACATTGGGTTAGATAGTAGTAATACTAGGGAGGGCTGGGCGCAGTGGCTCACGCCCATAATCCCAGCACTTTGGGAGGCTGAGGTGGGTGGATGACTTGAGCTCAGGAGTTTGAGAGCAGCCTGGCCAACATGGTGAAACCCCATCTCTACTAAAAACACAAAAATTTGCCGGGTGTGGTGGCGGGTGCTTGTAATCCTTACTCAGAAGGTTGAGACAGGAGAATCACTTGAACCCGGGAGGCAAAGGTTGCAGTGAGCTGACGTTGTGCCACTGCACTCCAGCCTGGGCAACAGAACGAGACTCCGTCTCAAAGAAAGACAGTGGTAAGTACTACGGAGAAAATAAAGCAGTGATGGGAGTTGGCAGTTTAGAAAAGGGCAATCAAAGAAGGCCTGGCTGAACACACAAGTTAATAGGATAATTACAAATGGTTTTAAGTGCTTTGGTGCAAAAGTACAGGATACCAGGAGAGAAAATGGGGGTGGGGGGCACCTGAGTGCATGTAGGGGCTCAGGAAAGAGGGTCTCCAGAAGTGATGTCTGAGCTGAGACTGGAAGGATGAGCAGGCATGACTCAGGAGAAAAAGGAGGAGGGAAGAGAGGAGAGCATTCTGGGCTGGAGGAACAGCCTGTGCAAAGGCCCTAAGGTTTGGAGGGTGAGTGAGAAGGGGAGGGAGGCAGGAGCTTCACAGGGCCTGGTGAGCCATGCCAATGCCCTTGGGCTTTCTCCTAAGGATGCTGGGGAGCCTCAGAAGGGCTCTGAGAAGGGCAGAGACAGGAGGCATAAGTTGATTTGGAGGCCTGGCATGGTGGTTTCGCATCTGTATTGCAGCGCTTTAGGAGGCTGAGGTGGGAGGATCACTTGAGCCCAGAAGTTTGAGACCAGCCTGAATAACATAGTGGGACCCCATCCCTATTAAAAAAAAAAATTATAGGCTGGGTGCCAGGCTCACACCTGTAATCCTAGCACTTTGGGAAGCTGAGGCGGGTGGGTCACTTGAACTCAGGAGCTTAAGACCAGCCTGGGCAACATGATGAAACTCCATCTCTACAAAAAATACAAAAAAAATTAGTCGGGCATGGTAGTGCATGCCTATAGTCCCACCTACTTGGGAGGCTCAGTCATGCACTCCAGCCTGCATGACAAAGCAAAACTTTATCTCAAAAAAATTTATATACATATATATATGTTGATTTGTATTTCAGAACATTCCTCCGATCTAGAAAAACCCCTAAGGCTTTAGAAACTGATGCATGTCCTATAGGATAACCTTCAAAGAAAAGCTATAATTATTTTTTCTTTTCTTTCTTTTTTTTTTTTTTGAGATGGAGTCTCGCTCTGTTGCCCAGACTGGGGTGTGGTGGTCTCATCTCCGCTCATTGCAACCTCCACCTCCTGGGTTCAAGTGATTCTCCTGCCTCGGCCTCCCAAGTGGCTCAGATTACAGGCATGCGCCACCACGCCCGGGTAATTTTTGTATTTTTAGTAGAGATGGGGTTTCCCCATGTTGGTCAGGCTGGTCTTGAACTCCCGACCTCAAGTGATCTGCCTACCTTGGCCTCCCAAAGTGCTGGGATTATAGGTGTGAGCTACTCACTGCGCCCGACCGAAAAGCTGTAATTTTAACTCTGCCTCACAATGTTGTCATGGATACCTCTGCATTCCTAAATGGTGAAAAGCTTCTATGACACATGATGGAGAAAAAAAGCCCCATCGTGATTTTCCCACGACACATCTATTAGAATGACTAAAAGTAACACCAAACCCAAACACCCAGACAATATGAAATGCTGGCACAGATGTGGAGCAACTGGAACCCTCATACATTGCTGATGGGAATGCAAAATGATACAGTCACTTTGGAAAACAGTTTGGCTGTTTCTTTTTTTTCTTTTTTTGGAAATGGAGTCTCCCTTTGTTGCCCAGGCTGGAGTACAGTGGCGTGATCTCGGCTCACTGCAACCTCCACCTCCCAGGTTCAAGTGATTCTCCTGCCTCAGCCTCCTGAGTAGTTGGCACTACAGGCATGCACCACCACACCCAGCTAATTTTTGTATTTTTAGTAGAGATGGGGTTTCACCATGTTGACCAGGCTGGTCCTGAACTCCTGATCTCAGGTGATCCACCCACCTTGGCCTCCCAAAGTGCTGGGATTACAGGCACGAGCCATTACACTCTTCCCTGACTGTTTCTTTCTTTCTTTTATTTTTTGAGACAAAATCTCACTCTGTCACCCAGGCTAGAGTGCAGTGGTCTGATCTCAGCTTACTGCAACTTCCGCCTCCTGGGTTAAAGTGATTCCGTGTCTTGGCCTCCCAAGCAACTAGGGTTACAAGCATATGCCACCACACCTGGCTAATTTTTGTATTTTTAATGGAGACGGTGTTTTGCCATGTTGGCCAGGCTGGTCTCAAACTCATGGCCTCAACTGATCCACCCTCCTCAGCCTCCCAAAGTGCTGGGATTACAGGAGTGAGCCACTGCAGCCAGCCATGGCAGTTTCTTACATTAAATATACACTTACTGTATAACCCATCCATTCCAATCCTAGCTGTTTACCCAAGAGAAATGAAAACATGTGATCTCATAAAATCTTGTATGGGAACGTTTACAGTAGCTGGTTTTTTGTAATCACCCAAACTTGGAAACAGCCCAACATCTTCCAACTGGTGAAAGGATAAAAAAAAACTGTGCTCCATTCATGCCATGGAATACTATTCACTATTTACAAAGGAGCTACTGATATAAACCACAACATGGGCCAGGTGCGGTGGCTCACGCCTGTAATCCCAGCACTTTGGGAGGCTGAGGCGAGTGGATCACCTGAGGTCAGGAGTTCGAGACCAGCCTGGCCAACCTGGTGAAACTCCTTCTCTATTAAAAATATAAAAGTTAGCTGGGCGTGTTGGTGCACACCTGTAATCCCAGCTACTCGGGAGGCTGAGGCAGGAGAATCACTCGAACCTAGGAGGCAGAGGCCGCAGTGAGCCAAGATTGCACCAATGCACTCCTGGGCAACAGAATGAGACTCTGTCTCAAAAAAACAAAACAAAACAAGAAAGAAGAACCACAACAGGGAGGAATTTTAAATATATCATGCTAAGTATGAGCCAGGCTCAAACGGCTACATCCTGTACGATTCCTTGTATGTGACCCTCTGGAAAAAGCAAAACTCTGGGTTCTGAGGACAGTGGTTGCCAGGGACATGGGAGTGTGGGAGGGGTTTACTACAAGAGAATATTTCTGTGTAAAAAATCATGGTAATGGCCGGATGTGGTGGCTCACGCCTGTAATCCCAGCACTTTGGGAGGCTGAGGCAGGTGGATCACCTGAGGTCGGGAGTTCAAGACCAGCCTGGCCAACATGGTGAAACCCCGACTCTACTAAAAATACAAAAATTAGCTGGGCTTGATGGAGGGCACCTATAATCTCAGCTACTCAGGAGGCTGAAGCAGGAGAATTGCTTGAACCCAGGAGGTGGAGGTTGAAGTGAGCCGAGATCATGCCAGTGCACTCCAGCCTGAGTGACAAGGGCAAAACTCTGTCTCAAAAAAAGAAAAAAAAAAAAATCGTGGTAATTGTGTAACGGCTATTACAATCACACTAATTGGTCAACAGCTGGACTGTGATAGTGGTTACACAACTGCATGCATGTGTCAAAATTCACAGAACTGTGTACCATAAAGAGAATTTAATGCATGAAAACCATATATCTTTTTGTGTTTTTTTGTTTGTTTGTTTGTTTGTTTTCAGGTTTTTTTTTTTTTTTTGAGATTGGGTCTTAACCACTTTGCCCAGGCTGGTCTTCACCTCTGAGGCTCTAGCAATCCTCCTTCCTTGGCTTCCCAAAGGGCTGGGATTACAGGTGTGAGTCACTGCACCCAGCCATGACAGTTTCTTACATTAAATATACTCTTACTGTATAACCCATCCATTCCAATCCTAGCTGTTTACCCAAGAGAAATGAAAACATGTGATCTCATAAAATCTTGTATGGGAATGTTTACAGTAGCTGGTTTTTTGTAATCACCCAAACTTGGAAACAGCCCAACATCTTCCAACTGGTGAAAGGATAAAAAAACTGTGCTCCATTCATGCCATGGAATACTATTCACTATTTACAAAGGAGCTACTGATATAAACCACAACATGGGCCAGGTACGGTGGCTCACACCTGTAATCCCAGCACTTTGGGAGGCTGAGGCGAGTGGATCACCTGAGGTCAGGAGTTCGAGACCAGCCTGACCAACCTGGTGAAACTCCTTCTCTATTAAAAATATAAAAACTAGCTGAGCATGTTGTTGCATGCCTGTAATTCCAGCTACTTGGGAGGCTGAGGCAGGAGAATCGCTTGAACCCGGGAGGCAGAGGCTGAACTGAGCCAAGATTGTGCCAGTGCTCTCCAGCCTGAGTGACAAGAGTAAAACTCTGTCTCAAAAAAAAAAAAAAAAAAAAAAATCGTGGTAATTGTGTAACCACTATTACAATCACACTAATTGGTCAAAGCTAGATTGTGATAGTGGTTACACAATTGCATGCATGTGTCAAAAATTCACAGAACTGTGTACCATAAAGAGAATTTACCATATGCAAACCATATATATATCTTCTTGTGTGTGTGTGTGGTTTTTTTTTGGTTTGTTTTCAGGTTTTTTGTTTTTTTTTGAGAATGGGTCCTAACCACTTTGCCCAGTCTGGTCTTAACCCCGAGGCTCTAGCAATCCTCCTCCCTTGGCCTCCCAAAGTTCTGGGATTACAGGAGTGAGCCACACATCAAATTTTTTTTTTTTTTTTTTTGAGACGGAGTCTCGCTCTGTCGCCCAGGCTGGAGTGCAGTGGCGCGATCTCGGCTCACTGCAAGCTCCGCCTCCCGGGTTCACGCCATTCTCCTGCCTCAGCCTCCCGAGTAGCTGGGACTACAGGCGCCCGCCACTGCGCCCGGCTAATTTTTTCTATTTTTAGTAGAGACGGGGTTTCACCATGGTCTCGATCTCCTGACCTTGTGATTCACCCGCCTCGGCCTCCCAAAGTGCTGGGATTACAGGCGTGAGCCACCGCGCCCGGCCCACACATCAAATTTTAAAAAGCAAAACAGATCCCATGATCCTGCTACATTTCTTATTTTAACTTGAATAGAGAGTCCTTCTGTTTGTTTGTTTGTTTGAGACAGAGTCCAACTCTGTTGCCGAGGTCAGAGTGCACTGACGCAATCTAATCTCGGCTCACTGCAACCTCCACTTCCTGGGTTCAAACAATTCTCGTGCCTCAGCCTCCCGAGTAGTTGGGATTATAGGCATGTGTCACTACACCCAGCTAATTTTTGGTATTACTGGTAGAGACAGCATTTCGTCATGTTGCCCAGGCTGGTCTCGAACTCCTGAGCTCAGGCAATCCGCCCACCTCAGCCTCCCAAAGTGCTAGGATTACAGGCATGAGCCACCATGCCAGGCCAAACAAAGAGCCCTTTCTAATTGGAATTAACGGTTCACTTAAGCAGAGGTTCATGCAATAAATAAATAAATAAATAAATAAATAAAATAATAAAAATTAACAGTACACACCCATACACATACCTGTGTCCATGCAGACACACACACCGGCATTTACATGGTGACACACATTCCTCATATGTGTACATGTGCACACTCCCTCACATACACTTATGCGTGATACACATGCACGGTCATATACACACACACACACATACACCTGTCCGCACGTGCCGATCAGGCCCACACACAGCCACTCCAACCCCTCCTCCTGCTTACCTGATTAAAAAATGGACACAGACGATACTCTCCGACTGGGGGCCCCGTCCCCCTGACACCACTGTGGCCTGGGTCTGGGTCCACAGGTAGCCACCGTTCCGGGCCAGGAAGCGATACTGCCCTGTTACTGCCTGGCCCTTGCTCAGCACTGAGGAGGGGGATCGGGAGGGGTCAGAGCCACCAAGGGGGCAACTGAGGAGAGAAAGATCTGGGGGCTGGGTATGAGGGGGTAAGGAAGGAGACGGTTCCCTGGGGCTTGGGGAGCAGGGAGCTGGTGTTGAGGTAGGGAGGGATTGCATCCTGGGGTGTGGAGAGCTGGGGGGTCCTGGTGCTGGCTGGGGGCCATGTGGCAGCTGGCTCCACGCCTGGGGAAATGGGATACATACAGGTGTGGATGCTCTTGCTGACCGCATCGGAGTCCAGCACGTGGATGTACTCGTAGGCGGAACAGCCGATCAGGTCATCGGGACTGTAGCCGGCCACTTCTGCGATCCTGGGGGTGGAGCAGAGTGGGGTCTGGTCAGGATGCTACTGGCTGAGAGGGAGGGTAGGTAGAGGGAAGTGGCAGCAGAGGACACAGGAACAAAGCCAGTAAGATGTCAAGAGACAGGATCGTAACCCAGAGAAAAGGAGTAAGAAACAGAGTAAGAGGAGTGCGGTGGGTTGAATAATGACCCCCAAAGATGTCCACATCCTAATTCCCAGAATCTGTAGATATGGTGTCTTTTTTTTTTTTTTTTTTTTTTTTTTTTTTTTGAGACAGATTCTGGCTCTGTCGCCCAGGCTGGAGTGCAGTGGCGCGATCTTGGCTCACTGCAACCTCCGCCTCCTGGGTTCAGGTCATTCTCCTGCCTCAGCCACCGCAGCTAGATATGGTATCTTACATGGCAAAAGGGACTTTGCAGATATGATGACATTAGAAGTTTTTTTTTATGGTTTTGGTTTTGTTTTTTGTCGGAGTCTCGCCCTGTCACCCAGGCTGGAGTACAGTGGCGTGATCTCAGTTCACTTTAAGCTCCGGCTCCTGGGTTCACACCTTTCTCCTGCCTCAGTCACCCTAGTAGCTGGGACTACAGGCACCCGTCACCACGCCCGGCTAATTTTTTGTATTTTTTTTTTTTAGTAGTGACGGTGTTTCATCGTGTTAGCCAGGATGGTCTCGATCTCCTGACCTCAGGATCCACCTGCCTCCGCCTCCCAAACTGCTGGGATTACAGGCGTGAGCCACTGCACCCAGCTGTTGCTTGTTTTCTGAGGCAGGCTCTCGCTCTGTCACCCAGGCTAGAGTGCAGTGGTGCAATCATGGCTCACCACAGACTTGACCTCCCAGGCTCAAGCAATCCCCCTGACTCAGCCTACTGAGTAGCTGGGACTACAGGTGTGTACCCTGTCTGGCTACTTTATACATTTTTCTTTTTTTTTTTTTTTTTGTAGAAATGGGGTCTCACTATGTTGCCTAGTCTGGTCTTGAACTCCCGGGCTCAATCTTCCTGCCTTAGCCTCCCAAAGAGATGAGATTACAGGTGTCAGCCACCTCACCCGGCCTGCCTTAGTCTTGAGATGGGGAGATGGATGCAGGTGGGTCCCGCTCTAGGAGCTGGAAAAGGCGTGGAAACAGATTCTTTCCTGGAGCCTCCAGAAGGAACACAGCCTTAATTTTGCCTGTAAGACTCATTACTAATTTATTTTTCTTTCTTTAAGATGGGGTCTCACTATGCTGTCCAGGATGATCTGGAACTCCTGGCCTCAAGTCATCCTCCCGCCTTGATCTCCCAAAGTGCTGAGATTACAGGCGTGAGCCACCACGCCTGGCCTAATTTCAAATTTCTGACCTCCAGAATGGTGAGACAGTGAGTATGTGTTTTTTGGAGCCACTGAGTTTGTGGTAATATATTACAGCAACAATAGGGAACTAATACATGGAGACGGGAAGAAGAGCTAAGAAAAGAGAGAAAAAGAGACAACATGCATGACATAGGAGAGGAAGAGAGGGGAAGAAAAAAAACACAAAAAGAAAGAGAAGAATGAAAATAAATAAAGAGTAATGAGGATGATAGACCAGGTGCAGGGGCTCACACCTGTAATCCCAGCACTTTGGGAGGCCGAGGCGGGTGGATCACCTGAGGTCAGGAGTTCAAGACCAGCCTGGCCAAAATGGTAAAAACTCACCTCTACTAAAAATACAAAAGTAGCCAGGCATGATGGCAGGCGACTGTGATCCCAGCTACTCAGGAGGCTGAGGGAGGAGAATCACTTGAACCCAGGAGGCGGACATTGCAGTGGGCCAAGATCCTGCCACTGCGTTCCAGCCTGGGCAACAGAGCAAGACTCCATCTCAACAACAACAACAAAGTAATGATGACAATAATGATTTAAAAATCAGACACTTGTGCTTTGCACTGGGAAACTCACTGAGCTACTCAGAATGACCGTACAAGGCAGGTTTTGATGTGATTCCACAGGATAGGTGAGGAAATCATGGCACAGACAGTTGAAGTCATTTGGCTAAAGATACACAGCCAAGACTGACACCCAAGCAGGCTGAATCCAGAGTCACCATTCCTACATACAACACCAGGGTGAGGGATAAGATAGAAGAAGGAAGAGAAGGACAAAAGGAAGAGAAGGACAGAAGGAAGAGAAGGGGACAGAAAAAGAGATGAAAGGAAGGATAGAGGATGAACAAATAATAACAGTTTATTTTATTTATTATTGTTTTTTTAGAGACAGCATCTCATTCTGTTGCCCAGGCTGGAGCACAATGGTGCAATCATGGCTAACTGCAGCCTCAACCTCCTGGGCTCAAGTATTCCTCCCACCTCAGCCTCCTGTGTAGCTGGGACCACAGGCATGTGCCACCTGCCTGGTTAATTTTTTTTTTTTTTTTTTTTTTTTTTGAGACAGAGTCTTGTTCTGTCACCCAGGCTGGAGTGCAATGGAACAATCTCGGCTCACTGTAACCTCTGCCTCCCAGGCTCAAGCGATTCTCCTGTCTCAGTCTCCCGAGTAGCTGGGATTACAGGCATGCACCACCACGCCCAGCTAATTTTTGTATTTTTAGTGGAGACGGGGGTTTCATCATGTTGGCCAGGCTGGTCTTGAACTCCTGACCTCAGGTGATCCACCCGCCTTGGCCTCCCAAAGTGCTGGGATTACAGGCAGGAGCCACCGTGCTCAGCCCCACCTGGCTAGTTTTTTTGTAGAGACGGGGTCTCCCTATGTTGTCCAAGCTGGTCTTGAACTCCTGGTCTCAAGCAATTCTCCTGCATTGGCCTCCCTAAGTGCTGGTATTACAGGTGTGAGCCACTGTGCCTGGCCTAATGACAATTTATCGAGTGCTTCCTGTGTGCTGGGCACCATACTAACTGCTTGACACAAATTGACTCATTTAAGAAAAGGGACAAAGAGAGAGAGACCCTAAGAGAAAGACTCAGAGACAGAGAGAGAACGAAAGATAAAAGGAGGCTGGGTGCGGGTGGCTCACGCCTGTAATCCCAGCACTTTGGGAGGCCAAGGCAGGAGGATGGCTTGAGCCCAGGAGTTTGAGAGCAGTCTGGGCAAATGGCAAGACAGTATTTTTACGAAAAAAGAAAAGATATAAAAGACACGCAGAAAATTCAGAGACAGGCAGGCACACACAGAGAGAAAGATGGATGAAGTGAGAGAGACAGAGAAGGAGTGAGAGAAATGTGGGGGTGTGGAGGTGGGGAGGACAGCACACTTGAACCTGGGCAGAGGGAAGTGGGCCCCTGCCCACCTGTCATCACAGTAGGTGAACTTCATGTCCAGGCTGTGGCGGCTGAGGAAGGCCCCCCGGCCCAGAGGAGGCTCCAGGCTGCCTGGGTGGGGGATGGCTTCGCAGATGAGCACCAGGCACTGCAGTGGCGGCTCTGAGTTGGGGCTCCCAGCTGGAGAAGTCTGTGCAGGGGGCTTGTAGGCCCTCATATGTCCAGAGCAATGCAGTACCTGGGGGCCGAGAAGCGGGGACAAGGCAGTGGTGCCTCCGGGCCTGAGACCACCCATGAGGCTGAAAGATGCATCCTGTGGGCCCATCAGGGAGCTGAGATTCCAACCCCATGAAGACTCCAGGTTCCAAGGGGCTGAGGATCCCCAGCCCCAGGCCCATAGGAACCCCTCCTAAGAGAGTTTACAGGAGCCCCAGGTCCCAACTCCACAGACACCCATGCTCCTGGATGGACTGAGGACCCACTAGACCTGACCTGAGTGAGCTCCGCACAGTCCCCAAGCCAGGAGATGCCTGGACTCCAGCACCATTCGAGATCTTTCGGGGCTCACACCCAGCCCCAGCAGCCCCGGCAGCCCCAGCGTCCTCGCCCTCCTCCGGCCCGGCCCCGCGCACCTTCCAGGTGGCCGCCTTGAGGTTGAGGGTGCGCCCGCGGCTGGTGAGCGTACTCTTCATGCGCAAGGAGAAGCACCGCTCCGTGGGGGCCTCCACCTTCCTCCTGGACAGGGCTGGGGAGGCCCGGGGCAGGGGGGAGGTCACAGGCAGCTGCACACAGGCCCAGTGCCCTCCGGCACCCTGGCTGCTCAGGCCTCTGGAAGGTCTGAACCTCTCTGGAACCAGAGAGGATCCCCCAGGGGTAGTATGTGTCCCCTCAGACCCCCCAGGGCAGGGCTGTGTCCCCTCAGATCCCCCAGGGCAGGGCCATCTCTCCTCTTCCTACTTGTCTTTGTCTGGTGTTCCAGAGGAGGAGGGGATATGCTGAGGGAGGGGTGGAGCCTCAGCTTCCTCCTGTGAGGACAGACGCTTCTGGGGAACTCACTCTGTTGGGGGGTCAGGGCGTCCTGAAGCTCCTCTTGGTCACAGGGGTGGATGAAATCAAAGATGCTATGTCCGATGAGCTCCAGCTGCCGGGGATGAGAGGGGTTGGGGTCTACCAGGGCCTCTCACCCATCTCCTCCACCCCATCCTCATTCCCCTGCTCCAGTTCGCCAGCCTGATTGATTTCACCAGTCTCCCCATTCATGTTTCCATCCATTTGTCCATCCATCCATCCATCCACTCAGCAAGCATTTATTCAGCACGTACCAAGTGCCAGGCCCTCATCTATCTATCTATCTATCTATCTATCTATCTATCTATCAATCTATCTATCTATCAATCAATCAACCATCTATCTATCTATCTATCTATCTATCTATCTATCTATCTATCTATCTATTTTTTGAGACAGGTCTTGCTCTGTTGCCCAGGCTGGAGTGCAGTGGTGCAGTGGTGCGATCATAACTTCCTGCAGCCTCAACCTCCTGGGCTCAAGCAATCTGATCCTCCCACCTCAGCCTCCTCAGTAGCTGGGACTACAGTCATACGCCATCACACCTGGATATATATATATTTTTTATATATATATATATTTTAGATATATATAGAAATGGAGTCTCGCTCTGTTGCCCAGGCTGGAGTGCAATGGCACAATCTTGGCTCATTGCAACCTCTGCCTCCCTGGTTCAAGCGATTCTCCCACCTCAGCCTCCCGAGCGGCTGGGATTATAGGCATGTGCCACCACACCCGGCTACTTTTTGTATTTTTAGTAGAGGTGGGGTTTCACCATATTGGCCAGGCTGGTCTCAAACTCCTGACTCAAGTGATCTGCCTGTCTTGGCCTTCCAAAGTGCTGGGATTATAGGCATGAGCCACTGCATCCGGCTTTCTGCTAATTAAAAAAAAATTTTTTTTTAATAGAGATGGGGGTCTCACCATGTTGCCCAGGCTGGTCTCAAACTCCCGAGCTCAAGCGATCCTCCCACATTGGCCTCCCAAAGTACTGGAATTATAGGTGGGAGCTACCGCACCTGGCTCTTCTAAATGGTATGGACACAGTGACCACACACACAAATCCCTGCCTCGAAGAGCTTACTGGCCAGTGGGGTGAGATAGACAGTGAATGAAAGAACAGAAAATAACAATATACCAAGTAACATGAAGAAAACAAAAGAAGGACAAGGTGATGCAATGATGGGAGGCTGCTTTAGAGACAGTGGTCTAGACAGTTTCTTTGAAGAGGTGACATTTAAAAAGACTGCTGAACAAAGCAAGTGAAGTGGCCTTGTGGCCCCCTGCAGTAAGAGGATTCCAGAAAGAGCGAACAGTAAGCGCAAGGCCCTGAGATGAGACTCCATTCAAATCACACTTGTCTGGCAGGCCGAAAACCCAACTCTTCATTTCAGTTTAGGAAATGAGCCTGGTGCTGGGAGGAGGGGACACAGATGAAGGTGGACCCTATTGGCTCACCATGTGAATGGTGCTGGTGCTGGTGAATAGGGAAAGAGGAAGATCTTGCTCCTCTGACAACATCTCTTGTAGCTGGAGTCGAATCCTGGCTGTGCCACTTCCTAGCTTTGGGACCTCAGGACATTCATCTCTCTGGGTCCAAAAAGCTCACTCACACTAACAGAGAAATTGGTACCAGGAGTGGGGTAACGAGGCAGAGAAAAGGAACAGATACCAACTATTGCGCCCATTTATGTGAGATTAAAAAAAAAGAATGGGAACTCTCTCGTAGGCCTTGCTGTAAGGATGAATTAAAGTTAGTTCTACTTTCTATGCTCGCTTAGGCAGCACGTATGCTAAAAATTGGAATAATACAGAGAAGATTAGCATGGCCTTTGTGCAAGGATGATACGCAAATGCATGAAGCCTTCCATGTTAATTAAAAAAGTAAGTTCTACTTTCTAAATGTCTCTTGTTCCTATCTTTCCATCCCCATGGCCCCTGCCACTGTTCCTCTTCTCCCACCTGAGATTGGCATCTACCCATTGCTGATCTCTCAACCTCTGATCTCACTCCCTCCAAATCTACCTCCATGCTATACCTAGAGGATCTTTCAAAAATGTAAATCTGGGAAGAAGAAGAGGCGAGAACGACCCCCGGACCGACCAAAGCCCGCGCGCGCTGCATCCCGCATCCAGCACCTACGTCCCGCCGCCGTCGCCACCACGCCCAAGAGAAAGGCTGAAGGGGATGCTAAAGGAGATAAAGCCAAAGTGAAGGACGAACCACAGAGAAGATCTGCGAGGTTGTCTGCTAAACCTGCTCCTCCAAAGCCAGAGCCCAAGCCTAAAAAGGCCCCTGCAAAGAAGGGAGAGAAGGTACCCAAAGGGAAAAAGGGAAAAGCTGATGCTGGCAAGGAGGGGAATAACCCTGCAGAAAACGGAGAGGCCAAAACAGACCAGGCCCAGAAAGCTGAAGGTGCTGGAGATGCCAAGTGAAGTGTGTGCATTTTTGATAACTGTGTACTTCTGGTGACTGTACAGTTTGAAATACTATTTTTTATCAAGTTTTATAAAAATGCAGAATTTTGTTTTACTTTTTTTTTTTTTTTTTAAAGCTATGTTGTTAGCACACAGAACACTTCATTGTTGTTTTTGGGGAAAGGGGCATATGTCACTAATAGAATGTCTCCAAAGCTGGATTGATGTGGGGAAAACACCTTTCCCTTCTAGTTTTGAGAGACTTCCTCTTGGTTCCCAGGAGGAGGGATTCCCTGACTTTGACACACATGGCCACCTTGGCACAAAAGCCTTGTGGTATGGAAAAACAAATTTGTTTTTATGTCCTCTTCTCCCTTTCCATCTTTCAGCATAGACTTAACTCCCTTAAGCCCAGACATCTGTTGGGACCTGACCCCTAGTCATTGGTTACCAGTGTGTCAGGCACTCTGGACTTTCCAGTGATGCCACTGAGATGGCACCTGTCAAAACAGCATTGGTTCCATTTCTAGATTGTGGATCTTCAGATAAATTCTGCCATTTTCATTTCACTTCCTGAAAGTCAGGGTCGGCTTGTGAAAAGTTGTTAAACAACATGCTAAATGTGAAATGTCAACCCTCACTCTAAACTTTCCCTGTTCAGAGCATCAGATGAAGACTTCATTGGGTTTTATAGTGGCTTTCTGATTTTTGGTAGTCCATTGAAGAAGGGAGTTTGAAAGTTGTTGTATACTGTTAACGATTGTCTGCCCATGTCCTGCCTGAAATACCATGATTGTTTATGGAAAGTATCTTTAATAAAGCTGGATACAGTTTGGCTTGGGGGAAAAAAAAAAAAAAAAAAAAAAAACGTAAATCTGATTCTACCTCTCTGGCACAACCTCTCCACTGCTTAAAATCCTTCTATAGCTCCCCAGGGTCCTGGAGATAAAGCTAGTTTGGCCTTACATTTGGCCACAGGCTACCCTGATGACCTCTCTAGCCTTCTGTCTCTCCGCTTCTCCTATTGAACTCTGCACCTAGGAGGATAAACTTGTTTTTGTTTGTTTGTTCGTTTTTGAGACTGGATCTTGCTCTGTCACCCAGGCTGTAGTGTACTGGTGTGATCTTGGCTCACTGCAACTTCCACCTCCCAGGCTCACATGATCCTCCCACCCCAGCCTCCCAAGTAGCTGGGACCACAGACGTGTGCCAGCACATCTGGCAAATTTTTTGTATTTTTGGTGGAGACAGGGTTTTGCCATGTTGCCCAGGTGAAACACTGAACTCCTGAACTTAAGCTATCCTCCCATCTTGCCCATTCAAAGTGTTAGAATTACAGGTGTGAGCCACTGCACGTGGCCAACTTCTTTATTTCCCGAAATTATTCTGTTTCTTTCTCACCTCTTGGCCTTTGCCTCCTCTGTTCCCTCTGCCATGTACATTCCTGATCTTCACTGATCCCATCCATTCTCCATACCCCTCCGACCAGCTAAGCTCTTCAGATTTCAGCTCAGACGTCTTCTCCTCCAGGAAGCCCTCCATTCCCACCCAGGCTGGGTCAGGTACACCCCACCCCTGGGCTCCCACAGCCCCCTAGACTGTCCCAACCCAGCCCTGACCATTCTGGGTCTTCCTGTCTAGTGACATACCTATATCCCCTTTGTACTGTGAGTCCCATAAAGGTAGGGCTATGGCTGTCCTGGTCACCACTGTATCCCCAGCATCACCAGTACAGGGCCAGGCACAGAGCCAGGAGCTCCTCTCACCTGACTGAGGCCCAGGTGTTTGCTGACATTCTCCGACAGGTAAGCCATGTCTCCCTCGGTGGTGAGCACCATGACGAAGCCCTCCAGGGCCTTCAGGTAGCAGGCATCCAGTGGTTCTCCCCCTGCTCCCACCTGGTTCCACTCCCCTGGTGCCCGGGGCAGGGGGGATGGGGGCATCTCTAGTCAGTTATGGACTGAATCATGAACTGACCCTGGGCTAGCCTCCCTCTGCCTTGCCTCATTCAGAGAAACTTACATGCACCCCCGAGGGAGTGGGGGTACATCCTAGTGACCTGGATTCCCAAGGAAGAAAGCAGGACCAAGAAGCACTGGAATTAGAAGCAGGGCCTCCCAGGGGGGCAGAATTCTAAGGAAGCAGGAGTCTCCCAAGGGAACGGAATTCTAAGGATGTGGGTGGGCCTCCTAGGAGGACAGAATTCAAAGTGGATGGAACTCCCCAGGGTCAAAATATGAAGGGGCCAGGGCCTAGGGGGAATTGTAACACAGAGCTGATGGGGAAGCCTCGAAGGGGTTCAACACTCATGGAGGGCAGGATGTTCCAGAGGGACAGAACTCCAGAGAAGCAGGGGCTCCCAGAGGACAGACTTCTAAGGGGGTAAAGCCTCCAAGAAAAGTAAAATTCTATGGGGCAAGTCAAATGGGCAGAGCCTCCCAGAGAATAACACTACCTCCCCCGCTTTCAGGGTCCTGGGATTCCATGGGGTTTATGTGTGAGTGTATGTGTGTGTGTGCGTGCGTGGCAAAGCCCGCTGCACGGTGCAATTCTAACTGGGTGGAAATTCAAGGAGATGCCTACTAAAAGAACAAGTGATGTAGAACTAGAGGGGTGGGGAAGGGACAAGGGACTCTCAGGTTCAGCAATGAAAAGTTGGGCGGCGTGGCCTCCCAGTGGATGTATTATGAGACCAGGGCCTATCCATCTGGGAGAGTCTCCCAGAGGATGAAATCCTAAGGATTGAAGGGTTAGGGGATTCTCTGCGAGTCCTAAGGAGGCGGGGCTTCCAAAGGGCGCGTTCCAGCGGGCGGGGCCTCACAAGTGACCGACTTCTAAGGGGGTGGGACTCCCAGCACGCCAGTAACTCAAAGGGGGCGGGGTCTCCCCTGGGAAGTGGGTTTCCAGGGGGGTGGGGCTCCGCCGAGAAGACGTCCACCAGGGGGCGGGGCTTTGTCAGAATGCGGCTTCCCGGAGGAGGGGCCTCCATGGGATGTGGGCGGGGCCTGGCCAAGACGGGAATTCCCACGGCCGGGGCTCACCTGCGGCGCAGAGGCGGTGCATGCGCAGGTAGCTGATGGTGAGGCGCATGATGGAGGCCTTGTCCAGGTGGGCGCTGACGCCGCGTGCGAAGGGCAGCGTGTGGGCCAGCTGGTACAGCACCTCGGTCTCCTGGCTGCGCCGGCTGCGGGCCGCATCCCGGGACTTTTCCTTGCGCAGCTCGGTGGTCGACCTGAGAGCATGGGCAGCGTTCACTGGTGGTGACTCGGGAAAGACAAGAGGAGGACGGGACGAGCACGTGGGGAGCTGCCACCTGGGGCCGGGGCTCGTGGAGGGCTGGGCCGCAGCTGCGCAGGCCTCGATGTGTGGCCCTGTCGAGTTCGCGGCGCTTTCTGGGCCTGGGACGGCTACACTGTGGAGCCCTCCTAGCCCTGAATTTACCTGTGGTCTTGCCAGTCCATGCTGCCTCCTGCGCCTCGCTCCTCTCTGTGGCGCGCCTAGGGCCGCTCTGTCCCCTCCCTGACTTATCTGCAGTTTATTTCCCGGGCTAGGGACGCCTGGGGGACAGGGACGGCCCCTGCTGGGAGGGGGCTGGCTGAGCTGGCCCGGGGCCAGAGAAGGGAGGGCCCACGAAGGAGAGGCCTACAGCCTCCCAGGCCCCCTGCCCTACAGTTTCCCAGATCTCCTTCTCTGCCCTTTCACCTCAACTGAGCCATCCTGTGAATCTTGGAACATAGATCTCAAAGTCTAACGACGAACCATGAACAGGGGCCCTAAGAGGGGCAGGGACCCGCCAGGGTGACACAGCAAAGCAACCTGTTCTGTTTACCACTCACCCTGCCCTGTAATCCACTTCAAATATCTGCATTTTGCTGTGGGGTTGGAAGAATAAGTGTCGTTTTATGAGAAATATCTGCCACTTATCCAGCTTTTACTATTTTGTCACTCCCGGTGCCAAGCGTGAAACTTAGGTTAACCTGTCTAATGCTCAGGCAACCCAGAAGGAAGTTGATAACGCCCCATTGAACAGATGAGGACACGGAGGCGCAGACAGTGCCTGCCCACAAATAGGGAAGCCTGCCTTTAAACAATGGTCTACCTAAACTCTCAAATTTTCTCTCTCTCTATGGGCCTGGGTTTATGTCCAGGATTTTAGCTCTTCTCCCTGTTTCTGCCACTGTCTTCAAAATCAAACTCCAGGTCTGTCTGAACCTAAAGTTTGTTTTTTTTTTTCTTTTCTTTTCCTTTCTTTTCTTTTTTCTTTTCTTCTCTTTCTTTTTTTTGAGACAGGCTCTCACTCTGTTGCCCAGGCTGGAGTGCAATGGCATGAATATGGCTTACTGCAGCCTCAACATCTTAGGCTCAAGCCATCCTCCAGCCTCAGCCTCTTATGTAGCTGGGACCACAGGTGTGCACCAGCACACCCAGCTAATTTTTGTATTTTTTGTAGTGACAGTGTGTCATTTTGTTGTCCAGGCTGGTCTTGAACTCCTGAACTCAAGTGATCCTCCCACCTTGGCCTCCCCAAATTCTGGGATTACAGGTGTGAGCCACCACGCCCGGCTTCTTTACTTTCATATAAAATTACAGCCGGAAGCAGCTATAATTTGGAGGGTGAGACAGAGGATCACTTGAACCCAGGTTCAAGGTTACAGTGAGCTATGCTTGTACCCCTGCACTCCAGCCTGGGCAACAGCTGTCTCTAAAAAAAGACAAAAACAGGCCGGGCGCGGTGGCTCACGCCTGTAATCCCAGCACTCTGGGAGGCCAAGACCGGCGGATCACGAGGTCAGGAGATCGAGATCATTCTGGCTAACCAGTGAAACCCTGTCTCTACTAAAAATACGAAAAATTAGCCGGGCATGGTGGCGGGCGCCTTGTAGTCCCAGCTACTCGAAAGGCTGAGGTGGGAGAATCGCTTGAACCTGGGAGGCGGAGGTTGTAGTGAGCCAAGATCTTGCCACTGCACTCCAGCCTGGATGACAGAGCAAGACTCCGTCTCAAAAAAAAAACAACAAAAAACAAAAGCATAAACAAAAACAAAAACCGAAAAAACCAAAACAGACAAAAAACAAATTAGCAAAAATAGAAAAAATAAAAAATTATTACATGATGTATTACATCTAGTATATTGTATATATAGTCTAGTGTAGTATATTGTATATATAGTCTCATCTACATTTATAATATTGATAAATATTACCATTAGTAATAGGCAGCTGTCATTTGCTAAGCATTTGTGTGCTTGCTACTGTACTATGTATTTTATATGTATTCATCCAATCCTCAGGGGACCCCTAGGAGGGAGGTATTTTATTTTTTATTTATTTTTTTAATTTTTAATTCTTTTTTTTTTTTTTTTGAGATGGAGTTTCCCTCTGTCGTCCAGGCTGGAGTATAATGGCACGATCTCGGCTCACTGCAACCTCCGCCTCCCGGGTTCAATTATCCTCCCTCAGCCTCCCGAGTAGCTGGGATTACAGGCCTTTGCCACCACGCCTGGCTAATTTTTGTATTTTTAGTAGAGACAGGGTTTCGCCATGTTGGCCAGGCTGGTCTCAAACTCCTGACCTCAAGTGATCTGCCCACCTCAGCCTCCCAAAGTGCTGGGATTACAGGCATGAGCCACCGTGCCCGGCGGAGGGGGACATTTTAAACTTCCACTTTACAATGGGGAAACTGAGACTGAAAAGTGAAGTCCTTGCCCAAGAAGCCCCAAAGCCAACAACTGGCAGAGCTGGGATTTGAAACTGGGCAGTGAGTTTCAGGCTTTTTCTCATCCCCTCCTTGGGACCCATCTGAGGGAAGTAGAACCTCTAGGAGGGGTCACTGTCCCTTCCTAAATTCAAGAGCAGAGGCGGCTTCTGGGGTGGCATCAACCCCAGCCTCAGGCAAGAGACCTGTAGCCCCACCACCCAGGGCGAGGGGATATTTTCCTGTCTGGAGGCAGAAGGAAAATAAAATCCTCAGTACAGCAGGGTGGGAGGCACACAAGAGGGCAGGCTGGATGGAGGGTTGGAGCAGGGGAGATACGGCCCCTGTCCCCGCCCCCTCCCTCCTGGCTGGTGGGGGCAGGGGCCTCAGTCCTGCCTGCCTGAGAGGACATGCCGTCCTGTTCTGTTCCAGCCCTGTTTGTCTTCCTGCCCAGAGGGTGGGGGCGAGAGGGCCTCACGGTGCTGGGGGCCCGACAGAGGGAACAGGGAGTGGGAACCGGCAGGGAGGTGGGGCCAGCGCCCCACCTCCTAGGCAGCTGGGCTCTGTAATCCTCTGTGGCTGGGCTGCTTCTTCCATAGAAGGAGCCAGCTGGTGGCTGCGGAGGGTCCCTCCTTCCAACTCCCAGCCTGCCCTCTGGATGTTCTACTGGGAAGTGTGGGTCTTTCCCATTTCACAGACTGGAGGCTAGTTCCTCTGGCTCAGGGTTCCAATCCTGACTCTACTACTTATAAACTCCACTACTTATAAGCTCCACTACTTACAAGCTCCACTGTTTATAAGGTGGGTGACGACTTATAAGCTGTGTGAACGTAATCGTGCTCTGTCGCCCAGGCTGGAGTGCAGGGGCTCGATCTCGGCTCACTGTCACCTCCGCCTCGCGAGTTCAAGCGATTCTCCTGCCTCAGCTTCCTGAGTAGCTGGGATTACAGGCGCCTGCCACCACGCCTGGGTAATTTTTGTATTTTTAGTAGAGACAGGGTTTCACTATGTTGGCCAGGCTGGTTTCGAACTCCTGACCTCAGGTGATCTGCCTGCCTAGGACTCCCAAAATGTTAGGATTACAGGCGTAAGCCACCGCGCCCGGCCAAGGTTAGACTTATTCTCCCTCTGTGCATGTCAGAGGTGGAAAGCATGGGCTTAGGAGCTTCTGGGGCTTTAGAGTAACCTGTGGGTTACCCTCCCCATAGTGTGGTGTGTGCATGCAATTACATGGTTTTTACGCAAGCATCTTAAAAGGAGGACTGAGGCCGGGCGCGGTGGCTCAAGCCTGTAATCCCAGCACTTTGGGAGGCCGAGACGGGCGGATCACGAGGTCAGGAGATCGAGACCATCCTGGCAAACACGGTGAAACCCCGTCTCTACTAAAAAATACAAAAAAACTAGCCGGGCGAGGTGGCGGGTGCCTGTAGTCCCAGCTACTCGGGAGGCTGAGGCAGGAGAATGGCATAAACCCGGGAGGCGGAGCTTGCAGTGAGCTGAGATCCGGCCACTGCACTCCAGCCCGGGCGACAGAGCGAGACTCCGTCTCAAAAAAAAAAAAAAAAAAAAAAAAAAAAGGAGGACTGAATAACAGTGATACTGTAATAATGATAGCATTGGTGTGTTGAACACCCACGGAGCTAGAGACCCCATTAAGTCCTTACTACAACCCTATGAGCAGGAAAAGTGATTTCTCCTTCAAAGAGGCAGAAACCGAGAGTCGGAGCAATGGTATCCCCAGCCCAAGTAACCCAGCGCCCTCCATCGACACTGAACTATGTTCAACCACTTCTCAGTGAATCTGACCATGTTCCTGCAATGACTTTCCCCATTTTCCGGATGAGGAAGGAAGCCCAAAGAGGTGATGAAACTTGCCTGAAGCCACACGGCTTTTAGTAGCAGAGCCAGGATTCAAACCAGGTCTGTCCACTCTGACTTGAACTCACTTTGTGGCACACCTATTGGGTGTTCTGCTCCCGACCATCTGCTTCCTCACTACTGGCTCCTCATCTTGATCTGGGATGGTGGAAAGGGAGTGTGATCCCCAGTTTTCTTTGATTTTTTTTTTTTTTTTTTTTTTTTTTTTTTTGAGACAAAGTCGGGCTCTATTGTCCAGGCTGGAGTGCAGTGGCCTGATCTTGGCTCACTACAACCTCTGCTTCTCAGGCTCTAGCCATTCTCCCACCTCAGCCTCCTGAGTAGCTGGGACTACAGACACTCACCACCATGCCTGGCTGATCTGCGTATTTCTAGTATAGATGAGATTTTGCCATATTGCCCAGGCCCGCCTCGAACTCAAGCAATCTGCCCACCTCAGCCTCCGGAAGTGCTGGAATAACAGGCCTGAGCCACTGCGCCCGGCCTCCCCGTATTTCCAGGACCTGAAACTGAGGCTCAGAGCAGCAGTCACTGACACAAGTCCACACCACCAGGAAGTGGGTGAGAAGGGATTTGAACCCTGACTTTGGGGCCTGTGCTCTTGGTAGGTGTGCCCACCGCCCAAGGGGCCCCTGCCCTGCCCCTCTTTTGCCTAGCAGCCTCAGTCCCTTCCCCTGTCACACCCCTGCTGCCTCCAGATCGCCCCAGCTGGCCCCATGCCCAGCCCTGGTCCAGCCCCCTGGCACTCTGCCCAGCTTGGGACGTGCAGCTGGAACCCTGCCACCCTTCCTCCGTGTTCCAGCCAAGAACAGGGGGTGGGGCCGGGGCCTGGAGGGCTCAGGGTGAGGCCTGAGAATGGGGGTTGGGGCCCAGTGCCCCCTCCAACCAGGAAGGAGAGAAGTTCACCCCTTCCCTGCCCTGAAGAACTTGCCACCCATGAGGAAGGCATAATAAAAGCAGGGAGTCCCTGCTCCACATTCAGGGCTACTTCTGGGCTTTTCTCTTCTGATACTCAGCTGGGTACTGGGGGGTCTTACGAAAAGCACAGAGGATTTGGTGGGTGGGGGCTTAGGTTGTAGCTGGGCAAGGATGCCTCTTGGCACTGCCCAGAGCTGTCCTGACAGACCAGACGCAGGGTTTGGGTTTGCAAAGGGACTTGGCATGAGGGTCTGTGGGAGTCTCTCTGTCCCCTGACTCTGCTTGTTCCCAAGGACATGGTAATCTGGTGGGGTGCCGGTCCCCAAAATCCTATCTTCTCCAGGAACCTTGTACCTCACTAGACACTCTGGGCTGCAAGCCGTACCCACCAGGGACTTCCCAAGAGCATCCTTGCCCACAGTGGGATGGCAGCCAGCCCCAGCTAGAGGAAGGGAAGGGGGAAAGGGGGTTTGGGGGGCCCACTCACCATTGCCCAGGCCCCCTTTGGCTGAAGGGCCATCCAGGGGATGCAGGAGGGGACGCAGCGCAGCCAGGACCCGGGTGCGAGTTACGAGTGGGTGGCGCGCGGCAGTGAGATGACTCCACAGGAAAGGGCCGGCCTTGGGTGGGGAGGGGGACACCCCAGCTCAGCCAAGAGGGGCCCCCACCCAGCCAGGAGGGGGCGCTGAGAAGGGCGGGACGACAGCTGGCCCAAAAAGGGTGGGATGGAGTTCCCTGGTAGGCCCAGAGCCAGGGCCTGGAATAGAGTGGGGGAGGGGGGAGAGGATGGGGGGGTTAGAAACATGGGGTGTGCACGGATCCAATCAGGCCTGAGAAACCAGGGAGGAGGGAAGGGGGTGAGGCTTACTGGGTGCCTCACATTGGACAGAGAAAGCTGAGGACCTAGAACATTTTCCAGAGTCCCATGAGAACATGGCCAGATAAGACCCCATGGCAGCGGCCCCAGGGCACAGGTTCCTTGTGTTCCAGCAGAGCTGCACCTGCTGGGAGGTGAACCCAGAAACCCACCCTCTGCCCGGGAAGACCCCAGCTTAGCACTGCGGCAGGGGGCGCTCCCATCACAGCCTGCAGGCTCACAGTACCCCGCCATGGAATCTCCCCAAAATAAAGCTTGAATGAGGCTCCCCTGTCTCTCAGGATGGGGGTGGAGGGGTGAGATGAGGGGCTGGACTTTGGGACGCGGGTCCAGCTTGTTTCCCTGTTATTTAAGGGAGTGACTCTGGCTTTTGAAAGGATACAAAAAGTCTCTTAGGAAGGGTCCCAGACGGCTTCTGAAAGGGGTTCCCCTCTGCCCATTGCTAGGGAAACCCAACGTTTACGAGACTGTGTCAGGAAGGGTACTATCAGAGGAGATCTCTCCTCTCTTGAACTCAGGAGAAGAATGCCATTCCAAGGGACTCCCTATATGTGGTAAGGCTCAATTTAGGGGTATCCCGTATCTCCTAGGATCCCAGGGACCTGGTGGAAAAGAACACCCTCAATTTGGGGAGTTCAGAGGCCAGAGGGATCAATATGTGGCGGGAGAATACCTCCCGCCTGGGGACTGCTCAAATGCAATCACCCCTAATTTATCAGGAATCCCAAGTTCCACCCCCAGCCAGAAGGGTAAGCGAGCCTTGGGTAACGAAAAATCGGGGACCCCGAAGCCGCTCTTGGCCAGAGGGGCGGGGCAGCCAGAGACGTAGGGAATCCCCCACCCCTGCAGTCTCTAAGGGTGGAGAGTGCGGCGGGGATGTGCCTCCTTCCGCGCGTCCCGGGGCGTTCTTGTTTCGCACCCGCGAACCGCCTCCCCACAATCCAGCTCAGGGGTCTCCAGGAGGAGAGCCCCCCAATTCCCAGAACTCCTGCCCCCGAACTTCAGTACCTTGCGCGCTGCAGCCCCAGCGCCATGGCTCGCCGGTCGCCGCTCCGGAGCCCTCGGAGGCCCCTAGCCCCCTCCCCTGGCCTTGCGAGCCCCCTCCCCAGCTCCTCCCCACGCCGTGCGGTTGGCTGTGCCGCGCCAGGCCCGCAGCTCTGATTGGGCGAAGGGTATGTCACTCCTGAAAAGGAGGCGGAACCAGGGGAAAAGACTTGGAAAGGCAAAGGGGGTGATACCGTGTAATACACACCCCCCAACCACGCCTCTCGCCGCGGACTTCCTAGGCAGTGTAGCCCGCACCGTCGGCTGGCCGCGCCTTCTCTGGCCCAGCCTCTAAAGTGCCAACGCCAGTACTCTTCTGAACCCACCCAGTTCACTCTGTTCTCTGCACCCCAGTCCCCAGCCTCTAACCCCCACCTCCTCTCACCTTTCCATTTCCTAACCCCAGTTGGGCCCTTCCGACCTCCCAATTCCACCCCTTCCAACCCCCTAGCCTCCTCTATCCCTTCTAAGGTATTCACAGAGTACCCTACTTCCCCTCCCCACCCTCCAACTCCCAACCCCACCCCAGTTACACAATCCCTGGCCCTCTGGCACCTACCCTTCCCTGTCACTCCCCAGCTCCTCCCTGCCGCCCCTGTCCCATACCCCACCTCGCCCCCTTCCTCCAGTCTGCACCCTCTGCACCCCAGCTTACCTTCCCCCACCCCCTCTACTCCACCCTAACCTCTTGGCCTTTCTGACTCCCTTTTCAGGTCCCCACTGATGAATAATTAAGCTTATGTCAAGTAAATATGTTTTAATTCAATCACACCTACTTTAAAAAGAGCCGAGAAATAGTTTTGTTGTTGTTGTTGTTGTTTAACTAGTCAACTATGAAGGGAGAGGTACAAAGTTACCTAGCAATAATGAAAGAATTACAGTTGGATAAGGAACAGTGTGTGTGTGTGTGTGTTGGGCCACTATTCTGCATTTGGTTAGCAGGGAAGAGGATACTATAGCAGAAGTGGCCTTGTTGAACCTTGAACTTGCCAGGCAAGTTGCTCACCTGAGGGCCTTTGCACTTGCTGTTGTTCCCACAGCTTAGAACACTCTTCCTCCAGGAATCCACACAGCTCCCCGGCTCACCCCAGTACCCCACTCTGTTTTCTTTTGGGAAACCGCTTCTCTCTCCTCTTCATCTATTTAATTTGAATAGGGTTTAGCCACTGCTCCGCCCTCACCAGCTCCAGGGATGAACACAGGATCCAGACCTGGCTAATCAGTTGAGTCTGCTTCCCTGGCCACAGTGATTGGTTCAGGGAAGGCACGTTACCTAATTTAGCCCAATGAGAATCAACCCTGAGACATTTGCTGCAACCATCAGGAAACAGGTTTTTCTATTTCTGCTGGAATTGCCGAGCAGATGGAGCAGATGGGGCTCACACTGCCACAAAGAGAAGAGAGGCTTTATGAGATGAGGTTCAGTGCAAAAGAGATTGTGCAGAAATGAGCGACTGTGAAAGGCAGTTTTGACCCCAGTACTTGAGTGCCTGGATCCAGCCATACCTGAACTCCAGTTTAATTCTTGGATTTTTCAAATGAAACCCACTATGGGCTTTTTTTTTTTTTTTTCTCTTGTCAAATATTGCTTCATTCACTATTGCCTTTTTTGCTTTGTGCTTAGATTAGTTTGAATGGATTTTAGATGCTTGCTCCCAAGAGAATCTTGATATATAGAGAAACTAACTCTCGACCCTCAGTATGGAGGCATGTGGGATGTTAGAAAAGGAGCAGTCTGAATTATAAAGGGGGGCCGACCATGGTGGCTCATGCCCGTAATCCCAGCACTTTGGCAGGCTGAGGTGGGCAGATCACCTGAGGTCAGGAGTTCAAGAGCAGCCTGGCCAACATGGTGAAACTCCATCTCTACTGAAAATACAAAAATTAGCCGGGCGTGGTGGCTCACCCTTGTAATCCCAGCTACTCAGGAGGCTGAGGCAGGAGAATCGCTTGAAGCCAGGAGGCAGAGGTTGCAGTGAGCCGAGATCGTGCCATTGCACTCCGGCCTGAGTGACAGAGTGAGACTCTGTCTCTTAATAAATAAATAGTAGAAGGGGCTGCAGAGGAACCAGTGCTCTTAGAGCTTGTCAGGGTTTAGGTAAAGACACGGAGTAGAAGAAATGTTCAAGGGACAAACCGAGGAAGGGGCGTGATTGTTAACAAGGCATCAAGAGTTCCAGTGAGTGTGTTGGAAGAGTTTGGAGGGGGCAGTCGTTGGATGATAGATTGAGTGGAAGAGAAGAACTCATTGATTATGGCATGAGGGAGTCATAGCAGAGAGCCAATCGGAGGGATTTACAGTGCCCAAGAAAAGCTGGCACTAGTTCAACAAACATTAAAATAGAACTAACACTTTATATATAGAGATGCAACAGATGTCTCTCTATGATGTAGGATAGTGTTAAACTTCACTCGGAGGTTCCCAGCAGCTAAGGCAATAAGGGAAATGTGTCTGTTGAAATGGTTTCCAATTTTTGCTAAAGGATGTGTTCTTGTTTGTCTGAAGAGACAAGTTTTGTACCTGGAACTGAAGTTAAGGGGGGAATTTAAGACCTTTTAATATTAAAATGTAGAGTGGTCTGAGCTGCCAGGAACTGTGGGAGCTTGGTTGCAGTGTCTCACCCTCCTGTCAGGGTTGTCAGAAAGGTTTATTGTGGAAGGGACGTTTGGATGCAGACTTGAGGAGGAATAACAGTGAGGCAAGAAGAGAGAGGGTTGGATACAGCCGAGTGCAGTGGCTCTCACCTGTAATCCCAATGACTCAGGAGGCTAAGCTGGGAGGATTGTTTGAGGCTAGGAGTTTGAGACCAGCCTGGGCAACACAGCTAGATTCCATCTCTTAATTTTTACTTTATTTATATATGCATTTATTTATTTTTTGAGACTGAGTGTCGATCTTGTCGCCTAGCCTGGAGTTCACTGGTGTGATCTTGGCTCACTGCAACCTCTACCTCCCAGGTTCAAGCAATTCTCCTGCCTCAGCCTCCTGAGTAGCTGAGATTACAGGCACCTGCCACCACACCCGGCTAATTTTTGTCTTTTTAGTAGAGACGGGGTATCACCATGTTGGCCAGACTGGTCTCAAAATCCAGACCTCAGGTGATTTGCCCATCTCAGCCTCCCAAAATGCTGGGATAAGAGGCATGAACCACTGTGCCCAGCTTCCATCTCTTAATTTTTTTTTTTTAACTTTGCCAGGCATGGTGATGTGTGCCTATAGTCCCAGTTACTTGGGAGGCTGAGACGGGAGGATTGCTTGAGCCCAGGAGCTGGAGGCTGCAGTGAGCTATGATTGTGCCACTGCACTCCAGTCTGGGCAACAGAGTGAGACCTCATCTCTAAAATAAATAAATACATGAATGAGAGGACTGGGGGGAAAGTACTGTAGGCAAAGGGAAGAGAATACAACAGTGTGGAGGCAAAAGAGAGCTTGGTACATTGAGGGAACTGACAGGTAGACTATGGTTGCAGCCTGGAGTATAAAGAGAGGAAATGGGAAGTGTTGGTGGAGGGGTGCATGGAAGTGAGATCAAACCAAGTCTGAAAGCCATTAAAGAATCTCGGGCATTCCCCAGGGAGCACTGGGGAGCCATGGCAGAGTTTTGAGCAGGACAGAACACAACACTGAGGATTCCTCTGGGAACTGGGTGTGGTAGTTCACACCTGTAATTCCAGGGTTGGGAGGCCAAGGCAGGAGGATTGCTTGAGGCCAGTTTGAGACAAGCCTGAGCAACATAGTGAGAGCCCATCTCTGAAAAAAATTTAAAAGTTAACTGGGCATGGTGGCATGCACCTGTAGTCTCAGCTACTCAGGAGGC